AAGTGGAACAATAGTTTCACCTTTTCATTCGAATGAATGGCTAGTATGTTTTCAACAGATGCACGCTGAGATTGTAGAGAGGCCTGACTCATGGCCTACAGGACCTAAGGACTTAAACCCTCCATGCTGTTCCTTCAGGTTTGAGCCATGCATTTTATCTAAAGGTCGTCATTTTGTAGATCAAGGCACTTTTTTCACCAAGAACAACCCGACGCAACTCAATTCCGTCTCGTTTTGAGATTGTGAAAACAATCACTAAACAATGTGCTATTATATAATATAATTAAATTATTGTGATTCTTAAAAACCTTGTACCTTGCCCGAAACTTAAACGTATTTCACAAATAAAATCTTTCAAGATCACATATTCAACATTATTTTATCAAAAATTTCCGATACATTACAAATACATTGTGTAAAGTAAGTGTACGTTTACATCGGAGGCGCTTCGCTTTGAGCTGTGCGCTTTACTTTACAGCCCAGGGGAAAGCTAGAAGAACGAGAGCACAACTTTAAATGACTGTATTTAGACCGCGTGCATGGCGCTAAGCGCTGTGCCTTACGTTATACATACTATGCGGAGCGATGGAAAACGCGATGTGTTGGTTTTGCGTTCCGTGTTGCCTCACTTGTTCAGAGAACTCCGAAGGTTATCTGCAATAATAATGGAAGAACAAATTATCACCACCGTTTTTAAATGAGAGGCAATATGAAATCCGAAGCATTCGTTGCATAAAAATGTATACGCTTTACAAAAAATGTGGAAAGAAATAGGAGACGTTTTTCTCTATTCACTTTCAACGCGATACTTTCGAGTAGTAATATTTTCTTAACTGGTAAAGGAGCCATTGTGAACTGCTTGGAAAATGCGTCCATAAATATAAGTGTGTTTTAATAATTACAGGGGTCTCAAAAGCGAAGCGCCTTCGATATGAACGAAGCCGAACGCATAGAGGTTCGCTTGACATGAAGTGAGGCGAACAGCTCCAAGCGAAGCGCATTCGATGTAAACGCGCACTAAGGCGTTGTAGAGGTGCATAAAATGAAAGATTCTGGAGTACCTTGTACATCACGGCTTGATTAGTGCAAGGCAGTATGGTTTCTGCTATCAGCGATCCAAACAGGACCTCCTAGCTTATGTCACGCAACTGTGGACTTATCCAGTCTTACAATGAGACTCATGTTGTTGCTCCTGTTACCTCGAAAGCCTTCGATCAGCTGTACCATGTTGCCCTCACTCATTCAACATATTTCTTTATTTACCATAAACTCTCAATACATAACAAATATATTGAGCAAATATATTCACAAATATATTCTGTGGAAAGAAACGCCTTGTACGCAAACATACAAACATTTTAAGTCTGATGATCACTCGTACACTATTAGCTTGTTTTTGAACCTTCTTGTATCAACTGTAAATGTAATGGAACAGCAGTTTTACCGATCATTAATAATTTTTCATATGACATGCACAAGACGGAATCATGTTGAAGTCGAGTAGATTTTGATGAGTACAGTGACTTAGAGCCTTCACATCTGTCTTTTGCTAATCGTGAAAATTTTCTTCGAACTGTATCTTCGAAACAAACAATAGGAGGCTGGGTAGCAAAGGGGTCAGCGCGAAGTGGTTAACGCGTCGAGGTACTAATCAGTGGAACCGAGAAACTCTGATGTAGGAGGCCTTGAGATCAGAAACTTAAACCTGATAAGTAAGTAATGAAGTCTTTTAATTTCCAATATTTCCTTGAATTACCTCTGGATTCACAGGCCGATCAAACTGGAATCTCTCCGTAGTAACTACAGGTGCAGGTGCTCCATATATAGATTCAAACTTGTATGGTCTTTCTTCGGACGATGGAAACTTAACTCCTTTATTGAAAGTTGTCTCGGTGGTGGCGGATATGTCATTCCAGTAGGCTTGTTTCCAATTGTTTTGGGCCGCTGGATTCTCCAGCCAAGGTGGTATGCTACTGATACAAATATTACTACTTTTCTCAGACTTTACCCATACAAATAGTAGCGAAATACACAAAAAATCGATACATTAATTAGTTCACACTGCCATCACAAGTTTTATCGACGTCTAAGGTTGACTAAGATACTGATTCGTTTTGCCAAGAACATTTTAGACATTTTAGATTAGGTGTATAAAAAAGATTTCAAGTTAATTGATTTTTCGGAATATTACACTTTCAAACAGACGGACTAGTACAGGAACAACATTAAATCGATATTCAAAACGGAACAGTCTCTCAAACAGGAAAATTTCAAATACTTACATCTCTACAAATTTTTGCCCCACATCGAGTTGAAAAATTCGAAAAAAAAAACATGGGAGAGAAATCAATGTTTTTAATCCTTATACAGTGGAGAAGTTACACTTTAAGGATGCAAGTTGCTTGTGGTAACTAACGCTGATATTTGATGATTCAAGCTCACGTCCCAATATGAAATTCTGGAAGCATTTAGATTGCGATTCTGTAATAGATGTGAGGGATGTGATTTCGTTGGTAGCCAATGGTGTTAATCAACATATTTCCCTTGAAAAATGATGACGGTAAATGTTAGTGAATACTGGTTAGCTCGCAATGTTCGCGGCTGTGTGGATTGGGGTTCGATTGTAACGATGTAAAATTTACAGCGATATTATAAATTTCACAGCTTTGAAGGTTAAGGATACATTTAGTTCCCGCCAGTCAAACTGTAAATATGTCAATTCAAAGGTCACTGGTTCTATTCCATATGCAGATAATTTTGTTTCTAGCCAATTCGTCTGAATCAGGATTTTTTTCTGCACACGCTAAAATAATAAAAAAGATCTGACATCTAGTGCTGGTATTTGATGGTTTTCACCATTTTTGCCGCTTGTAACATCGATCTATCAATACTACCTGCCTTGATATTTAAGTATACAGACATGTTGAGATCTCAAACGTTTTTCGTTCAATATGGTGAGGCTTGTTAGGCCAAACCTTCCTAAAGATGTTTTCTTTAGTAATTAATCTCGGTATTTTGTGTGATCCGATATACTAAGGTTACGTTAACTAAATCATTAGGGTATTAAAACAAACTTTGCAAACGAAAAATCTTACCTAGGTGACTCCTTCCAAGGTTGGCTATAGATTTTGGCTTCAGGAAAAGCTGGTGGCACTGTAAACTTATTACGTTCATAAAACGGGTCTACTGGTACACTAGGCTTGAAATCACTAAAAGTAACGTTAGTTACAACGCTAGTAAGGTTGGATGACGCACTTCTTCCAATAGCTTCTTTGATTGAAAGTTGACTAGCATTTTGCTGGGTTTCAGTTTTGTTAAAATACACTGCGGATTCATCTACAGCATTGTCACTAAGTACTGCAGAAACTAACATACACAAACAAATGACGTTCAACATCGTTACATGTCATACCTCTTCACGAATGCGCTCGATGAAGATGCACCTTTCGGTATATTTATAAACTTGCTAAACAATGTTACAATAAAATTACGTGACAGAAAAATGTCCTATTGTGTTTAAAATACCATATCATAGAAAGTTGTTCTTCTGATTGTAGCGTACGCTCTGAAAAGTTGGTAAATGTTTGTCTAACAAAATAAGTTAATTTTACTCTTTGTTCTTTCGTCGCAGTAGCTTGGATATGCTTGGATATTATCTAGATGCTATTAGCTAGAAAGGGAAGGTGATATAATTTCTTGCAATCAAGCACCCAGGAAACATTATAAATTATAGCTTGCTTCCTTTTTGGAAGTAAAGGTGTAAATCCGAAATAAAACGGTATTTGAGATTAAATTATATATGGAGTTGGTGATGACGCTGTCGCCCACAGCACTTTGCTGTTCCGAATATATGTTTCTTTTTCTACATTTACCCAATTCAAAGGATACTCTCCCTCCGATAATTCCAGAACTGGAAGCCCTTTTGTGTGCCGCAATCATTTGATTGCAGGGGTAAATGTATCGTTCAGGTCAAGATGTAGAATGCTACGATTTTCATTGGTTTTGAGGTTACAGTGTAATTAAGAATAAAAAATGTCTCATAGATTATAGCACTAATAGACTCCAAACATTTTTTGCTTCACCTCTGAAATGCTTCTTTGGTTGAGTTATGACTTTTGGTTTGGATCCGGCGAATCTATTTTTACTTTGTGGTGTGTTTCTTTGTCAAGTCTGAATTTTAGGGATTCCATGTAATATATTTTTTTAATTTTATTATACATATACAATATACTTAAGAGGTCAACTCATGAAAATGAGGGGTGAAATAACCTATTGATTATTCTACTCCCTTATTATCAAGAATTGGTCTCCTGTGTAATGTTTGGTCTTGTACTGGATATGAGCACAAAGCATCACCAGTAATACGCACTTATGTTTCTAATGCCAAGTGATTTATTAATCAGTAATTCTAATAATTTGAAATAATAGTCTACCAAACGTGCAGGTTGACGTCTCGGAGCGAAGTGTCACTTGCATAACATATACAGGTAGATCAGAATACAAATAGAATAGCCCTAACATTACAAGTTCGGTCGATTCCTTCCACTAGCTGTTGTAGGTACACTTTGTGGTGAACTCGTTTTGTAGCTGTACGTGTTGCCTAAACGTAATGATGCTTCAGCTATCAATGTTTGGTTCTGACATGATGTAACATCTGCTTCAGAGCTGGCATTACTGGAGGTTTAAGCTGTAAGTTGTATACTATCGCTGGAAATAATCGGCAGTACATAGTGAGGACTTGTGTGCTAATAATCTGTGTTGATAACAATTCCTTTGGTTTCTTGTCACAAAGACACTTACTTGAGATGTATTCAAAGCTAGATATTAGTTGCGCATCCACTTTTTCTTATTCATTCTAGAAATTACATATACAAATTTGCTGAATTTAAAAAAAGATAGATTAAAAAATCTCTACTCAAGTACGCGGTTAGCAAGCGACTGCCGCAATTTTATCGCCTCGTGTAAGCTATGGCTTTAGCTAAGAGCATGGCGTGATAGCAAAGCTCTTTTTATTGGTCAGGCTAACATCTATCAGCCTAAGCAAGCACTACTGAAAAACTACGGCACCTTGATGAAATGGAGAAGTCAATATAACATATCTCTTTGTAAAGAGAATTATTATTCTTTTAAATCTACTTTAATATTTCGAGACATAACTCAATGTAATATAATCTTAATATGCCAAAAAATCTTCCAGAATTTTTACATGTCTTTTTATGCCATGAATAAACACAGTTGAAGTGGAAAAATAAGTGAGTTGGATTACAACGCAAGATTCATGCAGCTGTCCAGAAATTCAATTCTCGGTCGGTAATGCTGGAAATTCCAGTGTACAGTTGTCAAGTAAATGTCAAAACAAAGAAGGTGTACGTCAATAAAAAGAAATGTGTCAACATAAATCAAAATCGGAAAACCTAAAAAATATGGTTAAATCCAAATGAAATGTATTCTAATTTGTTTTTAGTTGGTGTTTGAAGGGAACTTAATAACAAAGTCAAAATGGCAATGGAGTCAACAACTTTGGAGGTGCGCAATCCGAACGGTTTCTTCTGTTCATTTTTCTAATATCTGTTTATCTGCAGATGTTTGATGAAGTTCAAGGGGGCTACGTGGAAGGTGAAATGAATGTTCCAAAGCCTCAGAATAGAAACAGCATAGGTCAGCCAGATTTCAACACATTAGATGAACCTATTCGTGACACTATAGTAAGCCTTATATGTTATTATTCTTGTTACAGTCTAGAGGATTCAAATGACCCTATCTTCACTTATTAAGTATTCACAAGAATACATAACATGCCAGTGTGTTTTCAAATATTTTAACATTATCCAAAAAGACTGACAGTATATTTACAGTACACGGCAATGCAATTTCCGGCAATATGAAGTGGTTGTCATGGGAAAGATGCATTTGTCTTATGCAAAATATATTGGTAGCCCAATTTATTTTGGATGCTGTAGAGCAAGGCTGTCCAACATACGGCCCACAAACTCCTTTCTTGCAGCCCGCTTCATGGGTCATCTATACATCACATGTATAAATTACTCTCAAATACCGAATATGCATATACCTATTAAAACTCTACTGTTGTATAGAAAGATTTTATAATGCGGCCCTCCAAACTGCATATTTTTTCTTTGAAGTGGCCCTTGGGCCATATTAAGTTGGACAGCACTGCTGAAGAGAGTGGACTGTACTATAGAACATGTCCCAGTGGATTGCTACACAGCATCAACTGAGCTCTTAGGGCCATGGGATCATTGTTCCAAGTCATCAAAAGCTTGAAGTTCAAGAATCTTTTCCATAGTGGAGTTAGAATGTGTACTTATCATATGTGAGATTGACCAATATAGGATTTTTGCTGTTACTAATAATTGGTTGATATTGATATATTGACCTATTGGCAGTTTGTTTCATTGCATACGCAATCAGGTGTATTTTGTTCAGCGGAGGAAAAAAATTTATTGATAGCTACACACTCAATATATGTTTGACAAGTGGGCTTGTTTAAATTTTTTGTACAATTACATATTAAGGATTTAGTGAGTACATGTATGTTGTATTTTTTCAATTCAGTAACATTAGATGTCAATAACTTTATAATTTATATTTGTCACATATGGGTAGTCATATTGGCATATTCATATATTGGCTGCATAGGCTGATATTATCTATATGCTGATATACATATTGGATTTGGTCGATCTCTAGGCATAAGCTTATCCACTTGGACTCTCCTTTCATGCTTGTGGTAGCCGAAGTTTACAGCGAAATGCTAGATTGATTATTTTTTTATCACAGATTTGATAAAATAAGTGGAAAAATATCTGCAAGCATTGTTTTAAATGATGGAATTTTTCAGTTAAGGGACCTCAGGGCTGTTGGTGTCAAGTTTGCATATGTTCTGATTCCTAAAGAAAAGAAGACTCTCCTGAAGGAATGTAAGTATAGTCAGCATAATCAAAAATAAATTCTATTGATTTTCTTTTTTTCCCCAGGGGATCTGTGGGGGCCTTTACTGCTATGTACTTTTATGGCAATGTAAGTATACCTACTTATTTATTTATATGAATTACCCTTATACCTTCATCTTATATGTTTTCTTCACATTATTCAAGGATACTGCAAGGATCTGATACAGCAGATAATACCAATGATGGAGGTCCAGAATTTGCAGAAGTTTTTGTTATAGTTTGGGTTGGATCAATGGTAGTTACATTAAATTCAAAACTTCTAGGTGGCAACATGTGAGTATGCTTTATCCTATATTGTTGAGATTCATCATGTTCTTAATTTACATTTAATATTAATACCAGTTCAGGACTGTTTTTGCCTGTTTTATAAATGATTCCCAAATAAGTAGACTTTAAAATGGTGCATTTTCCTGTACCTGTAGGGATTTGTTTGTAATCATAAATAAAGGAGTACAAATCAACTAACCAGAAACTAAACATGATTAATCTGCCCTGCTTGTATGGCGGATAAAACCCTGTGTATTAACATTGTAGTAAACTTTTGAATTGCAAAGGTCTTCTTCAGTACAATGACAATATTTGATTTATCAGATAAATGTGATTTAAATATTTACTACAGTAAAGAAGATACATGTGGTTTTATTAGCCAGTTGAGCATGGGGGACTATCGACATGTAAAAAACCATATAAGTTTCAAATGTTATGTTGAACAAGATTATTACAATTATACCTATAATATTCTTTTCAGATCCTTCTTCCAGAGTGTGTGTGTTTTGGGTTATTGCTTGCTACCAACAACAATTGCTTTAATAGTGTGTAGAATTCTACTTCTCTTGAATCAGACAAACCTGCTGTTTTTTTTGAGATTTGCTGTATCAATGATGGGATTCATCTGGGCTACATATGGTAAGTTTTAACCCATACAGGATATTCCACTTCATCATGTTCTGGTCCCTAAGCACTGCTATCGAATCCATGTAGTGGAAGTTTTACAGAGATGCCAATTCACTTGCCATGCCACTCTTGAGTCTCTTGTCACTCATTACTGTCGATCGATCTGCTATTCCTTGGCCCATCTATAACTTGGCAATTACCGCTATGATTTTTATGTTGATAACGAAAAAGCTTTATACAGGGTGTTTGGTGCATCGTTTGCCAAATTGAAATGGCGGACAGGGGAGGTCTTTTTCTATCGCCCCAGGTCCCTCAAACAGTTTTTAGCCCAACGGCATTAATTATGTAGATTTTTAATTTTTTTAGTAAAAACTCCAAAATGTAATACACAAAGTGAAATAAAAACAAATAAAGAGTATGCCCACCTAATGAATAATTTATCTTAATGGGTGACGCTGTACCAATATTACAAAATCAACATTACTTGCCAGCAGCATGTAGTTTTTTATTTATAAACTCACAAAGGGTTACAAGAAGAACAAAAAAATGTAAGTCTCAATTTTGAATTTCTGTAAAAACAAAACTAAAACCGTTCACGTTCTTAGAATTCTTTTAAAAACTACTCTAGTTTACCCCGATTCTAACCGTATGCCAAAAGTCACAAAAAAGTTGAAACAATTTCTTGAATTTGCAAATTTTGTGTACAGGGTCAAATTTTTTCGGTCGGATAATAACAATGAATTTTTGTTTCTTTTCTATTGTTTAATTTACACGTACAAGGTAACTCAGTTAAAAACTTTTGTCTCCCTCGTACACAGCGGAGCAGTATCATCTGTCTCTCTTTTTTACTAGTTGAGTGGCTAACCGACAGGGACGACGTGGGTTCATTTTTCCATCGGGGTTCGTCCCTGCTGGCTGCCTAACGTTTTTGTTACTTCTACGTAGTGCCGCAACCTGTGACTGTTGCTTTGTCAGTTTTAGTTGAGTTCTGTTTTGATGATGGATGTATTTACAAATTAAGAGTATGCAGACATGTTGTTGGTGTACAGACAAGCCAACTGTGTTGCACGAGCAGCGCAAAGGATCTACGAAGAGCGCTATCCTAACAGGCGTGTACCTACTAGCCACACATTCCAAAACACTTATCGACGCTTACGAGAAACCGGTACTGTGAGCAATAATGTAGCAAGACGTAGTGCGATACAATGTTAACATCGATGATAGGATTTTGGCACTTGTCGAGGAAGATCCTACTCAAAGCATCCGAAATATAGCTTCTTCACTGGAAATTTCAATTTGGAAAGTATGGAAAGTACTTCGCCAGAATAATAAACATGCCTTCCACTACACTCCTGTACAAGGTACGTAATTTTTTTATCACACTTACAACTGTCTGCAATAGAAACTTCTTATCGCTTTTATTTAGCATGTAGCGGCGGCAAACTATGTTACCCGTATTTTTTTGATGGCAGGTCTTGAAAACAATGACTTCGACAACCGAGTCCGGTTTTGTCGTTTCTTGCTGAAACAGAAGTGGACGATCCGGACTTTTTGACAAGTATTCTGTGGACGGATGAGTCCAAATTCACCAAGGAAGGGATGCTAAATTTGCACAATCTGCACCATTGGGCTTCAAAAGATCAGAACCCAAGAGTGAAGAGGCCAAGCTCTTTTGAGAGAAGATTCAGTGTGAATGTTTGGGCAGGATTAATTGGCAATCATGTGATTGGGACACATTATTTGCCAGATCGTCTTAACAGAGATAATTATCTATCGGAATGTCCGGGTGGAGGGTGGGCTCGAGGGAACAACATCGAAGATAAAATTTGTTTTTCGAACATCTGCGGGATCAACAGCAACATTGATGCTGTTCATCACTACCTGCAATCCAATCGTCCCGCCGTGCTTTTCTTGGCGGAGACAAAAATCTCAGAGACTGCACCGATTAACCATCTCAACTTCCCAAACTACGAGGTGCACTCCAATCTGAGAAAGAACGGGGGAGTTGTGGCTTTTGTCCGCAGCAGTCTTTCCTGCTCCAGGGATCTTTGTTTGGAATCAGACCGGAAGGACATTCTGTGGCTTCGCCTCAACTCCAAAACATCACCCAAATTTATTTGCTGCCTTTATCGCTCTCCCTCCAACCATAACTGGGATGACCTACTCGAATACCTCGCCGTCCAGATCGGCTTCCTGAACATCAATCACCCCGCTTCAGAGGTAGTTCTTCTCGGTGATTTCAATGCCCATAATGAGCTTTGGTTGGGCTCAAATAAGACCGATGCAGCAGGTCGTGCAGTCGAAGCGTTCGCTCTTACTCAAGGGCTGACCCAGCTGGTGACGAGCCCTACTTTTTTCCCCCGCGGCTCGTCACACGCCAGTAGCCTGCTGGATCTCTTTCTGACCACGCATCCTGTCCCTTACAGCACTGCTGTCCTGTCCCCCCTGGGTAACTCAGATCACGGTGTTGTGGAGGTTAGGTTTCGGTCAGAAGCCGCTGTGGCAGCGGAAACTCGTACAAGCCGCAAAACTTGGCATTACGGACATGCCGACTGGGAGGGGCTCAGAGACTTCTTCTCTAGCTTTCCTTGGAGAGATGTCTGTTTCACTGACGCGGATGCGTCGACTGTCTGTTCTTCAATAACCGAAATTATCCACGTCGGAATGGAGGAATACATCCCTCACACAGTGAAAGTTCCTAAACCAGGGTCCAACGGCTGGTTCAACAAATCGTGTGACACTGCTCGCCAGCAGAAGATCAAGGCCCACAGAACCTACTTACAAAACCCTACTGTAGAGAACAGACAAGCCGACGTCGAGTCCAGAAACAAATATAACGAAGCGGTTCGCAATGCCAAAAAGCAGCATGATATAAAAGTTAGGCACAGGGTAATGTCGCAGCGCAATGGCAGTCGGTCTTTCTGGACGCTGGCCAAGCAGATTGAAAAGAACTTCTCACACAGTAGCCTTCCACCACTTACGTGTCAGGATGGAACTATTGTATTCGACTCAAAGGCCAAGGCGGAAGTGCTAGCCAAGATCTTTGCTGCCAACTCCACCATGGACGTCCCCACCAACGCCCAAGTGCCATCAATTCAAAGGGTTCCCCACACTATGCGGGAGGTAACATTCAGGCATAAGACCGTAAGACGAGTGCTCTTGTCGCTCGACATCAACAAAGCTTCTGGTCCGGACTTAATTCCTGCCATTGTACTGAAGAGATGTGCAGCGGAGCTTGCTCCAGTTCTTTCGCGTCTCTTCCAGATATCTTATGAATCCGACACCTTCCCAGAAAAGTGGAAATTTGCTCATGTACAGCCCATCCCAAAAAAAGGATCTAAGACCGACCCTTACAACTACAGGCCTATAGCTCTGCTTTCTGTTATAAGTAAAGTGATGGAGAGGTGCATAAATCGCGAGCTTCTGGACTACCTCGAACGTCACAGCTTGATTAGCGACAGGCAGTACGGTTTCCGGCACCAACGATCCACAGGGGACCTCCTAGCTTACGTCACGCAACTGTGGAGTAAACTCATCCAGTCTCATGGTGAGGCTCATGTCGTTGCTCTTGACATCACGAAAGCGTTCGATCAGGTGTGGCACGCTGCCCTCTTAAGCAAACTTCCATTCTATGGCGTCCCAGACAAGCTTTGCAGATGGGTGGCTGACTTTATCTCTGCCGCAAGATATCTGTTGTAATTGACGGATTCTCCTCTTCATCCAACAACGTCAACGCGGGTGTTCCCCAGGGATCGGTATTGGCCCCAACACTGTTTCTCTTACATATCAACGACCTCCTTTCCTGCACGATCAACCCAATCCACAGCTTCGCTGATGACAGTACTCTACATGCAGGAATTCAGAGTGACAAGCCGATCTCTGCCGCTGAGCTGAGAAGACTAGCGACGACTTCTTCTCTGACAAAAGACCTGGAGGCTATCACTGCTTGGGGACGCAATAATCTTGTACAGTTCAATGCTTCCAAAACACAGTACTGTACTTTGACGAACAAAAAGCGTCCTAGCGCTCATACAGTTTCGATGGACGGCCGAGTTCTACCAAAGAGCCATTCATTTCGGCTGGTCGGAGTCCAGATCACCGAGGACCTGATCTGGCACGAACACATCTCTTCAATAGCTGCAGCTGCTGGGAAAAAGCTAGGCTATTTGTTTAGGGCTAAGAAGTACTTTTCTCCGCATGACCTTCTCACTCTATACAAGGCCCAGATAAGGCCTAGCCTCTAGTATTGCTCACACATTTGGGGTGCTGCCGCCCCGAGTACATTGTCCATGCTCGATGCCTGCCAGAGGATGGCGGTCCGACTGATCGATGACTCTTCTCTAACAGACAGTCTCGGGACTCTTTCGCACCGGCGGGCCGTCGGCGATCTAGCTCTTTTCTATCGCTACACCAACGGGCTTTGCTCCTCAGAGCTCTCTTCCATGATGTCGCCGCGCGATGTGCCTGCCAGTCAGACCCGCCTGACTTCGGCGTCCCATCCTAACCGTGTCAAACTTCGTACATCCAGAACTGGCCGATAGGACCGCTCCTTTGTCCCGAGGGTGTCTAGATTGTGGAACAATCTGCAAGAGGAAGCTTTTCCCAGTTCTACTAACCATAAACAGTTCAAAAATCGTATTAACAAAATTTCTTTGGGATAATCATAGCAGCCGCGGTGTTCCGGCATTTAGGCTTCTGCCTGCGCGGCTGTTTCGATATAAAATATATATATATATATATATATATATATATATATATATATTTTCTGCAAAATAAGTTGCCCGAATTGGTGAATGAGGTGCCAATTTTCAATGGCGACAGACGAATTGTGTTCCAACATGATGGCTCTCCTGCACACTGAAGGCTAATTGTGCGGGAACATCTAAATATGATGTTTTTCCGAATGCGTGGATTGGACGAGATGGTCCTATTCCATGACCTGCACGCTCCTCAGACCTAACTCCATTGGATTTTTACATCTGGGGATGTACGAAGGCACTCGTCTACGCGGCAGAACTTGCAACAAGGGAGGAGTTGATCCGAAGATTAGAAGAGGCGGTTGGTACGATTCGGCAAGAAATTAGCCTACGTACGACAACCGTCGAGATAAGACAAAGGTGTCGTGCGTGCATACGCAATAGAGGACAACAATTCGAACAAGTTTTGTGAAACAGAAAAAATAATAAATGATTGATTTTATTTTCCTTCCCCTGTACAAAAAATTTGCTAATTCAATAAGTTAGTTAAACTTTTTTTTGACTTGTGGCATACCGTTAGAATCGGGATAGTAGTTTTTAAAAGAATTCTAAGAACGTGAACGCTTTTCGTTTTTTTTTCACAGGAATTCAAAATTGAGACTTACATTTTTTTGTTTTCAATTCTTTATTTGTGTTAAGTACACCAGCGTGTTTACACAAGTCAAAAGAAAAACAAAATTAATACAAAAAAGCAGTCTGACAAGAGACTGATGTTCAAATTACGCAGAAAAACATCAACTTATGACATTATGATTCAATAAAAACAGATACAGTCCATAAGTTGTAAAAACAGGAGGACATATATACGTACATAGATACACGCATATTCATTTAACCACAATATGTTTACTTCTACACACACACACGCACACATACATATATACACACATATACGTTAAAATGGTAAGACATATGAAATGTTGATATAAAAATTTACCAGATGACTTAGTAGAAAGTTCAAGGAGCCTAGAGGATCCCAGGTGTAGGAACCTTGTTGTATTTGCTAACAATCCGACAAGTCTGAAAAATTGTTGCTCAAATACTCGTTGATCGAGTAAAATGCTTTAGTAGTCAGATAAGCATTAACTTTATTTTTAAAAACTTTCGCATCCAGTTTCTTTATACGGTCTGGCAACAGGTTATAAAAAACTATCCCATAATAGTTTGTGCCGTTCCTGGTGGTTTGGAGACGGCTATGAGGTACTAAGATTTTATCCATATTTCTGGTTCTATAACTGTGGACATCACTGTGGGTAGTATATTGGCTCAGGTTAGTCTTTATATACATCAGACATGTGAAGATGTAAAGAGAAGGTACTGTCATGATTTTCAATTCTATAAAAGCTTCCTTGCAAGGTTCCGTGTATTTGAGGCCAGCAATGTACCGCAAGCAACGTCGTTGTAATCCAAAAACTTTTGACGAATGGGCCGAGTGACCCCAGTTTAACAATGCGTATGAAATTCTTGATTGAAAGTAGGAATAATATGTGAGAAGAAGAACTGACTGAGAGACATTTTGTTTCAAGTTCCTTATCAAATATATATATATTTTGCTAGTGCATTGAGAACATGGATTACGTGAGTTTCCCACGACAAGTGTTCATCAAGGTAGACTCCTAGTAACTTCACGGACTTTAGTGTATTAGTGTCGTGCTGCCTCAAGCTAAGAATAATCATCTGAGACTTGGTTTCATTGATGGTCAACTTATTAGCGGTTAACCAGTTTGCTAGTTTTCTTTTATGAGCTTCAGAGTCGAATATCAATGAGGCTAAAGAGGCATTGCTATTCATCAAGGTAGTGTCATCAGCGAATAGGATTAAGTTATTATTCACATTATAGTTAGTTATATCATTGACATAAATTAAAAATAAAATACGTCCCAATACCGAGCCTTGCGGTACCCCGTGAGCAGCGAGTTCTTTTTTGTAACCCTTTGTGAGTTTATAAATAAAAAAACTACATGCTGCTGGCAAGTAATGTTGATTTTTTAAGATTGGTACATCACCCATTAAGATAAATTAATCATTAGGTGGATATACTCTTTATTTTTTTATTCACTTTGTGTATTACATTTTGTTTTTAATAAAAAAAATTAAAAAATCTACATAATTAATTCCGTTGGGCTAAAAAACTGTTTGGGGGACCTGGGGTGATAGAAAAAGACCTGTATCGTGTTTGAAAATAAATCCAGTGGCAGCGGAGCTAGGGGCGAAAAAGGAAAAAATACCAATCACTCACACTATTTTTTTGATGTTCCAGTGCTCCTGGCCATTTTAAGAGAAAATATTATATGGACAAAAAATTGGGTGTTGTAGAGGTGGTCTTAATTTTTTGGCATTAGTATATTTATAAGCTTACAATCCCGGTAATACTACGCAGCTATTAGACATATTTCACGCATCTTATATTTACTCGTACATTTGGTCTTAAAACTTTGTAGAGAAGTATTTTCAACACACTCGCGTCTATCGGTATACCTCCGTCGCAGTCTTACCGATGAGAATCTGCGGTTCGTCGTTTCACAATTAGGGCTTGCTGCCATGGTGACAAGGTTGGTGCGGCGAGAGGGAAAGAATTGGCGAGGTTAGTCATAGCAACAGTGAAAATCGTGACTGTCAGTATGGCAGGAAGAAAATTTCGATGGACTAATTGTATGAGGCTGTTGACTAACTTGATCCGTTTAATATTTTTCTTATACGTGTTCGTAGCTAAATTTTTTCTCATAGAAGCTAACTTGTCCAAACATATGAGCTGATGGCAGTATTGACGCAATTATTTGTGAAGTCACCGATTCTGTAACTTAGTATATCCGTATTTATTCTATTGTCAATAAGATAACGAGAAATAAAAAAAAAATTGAACATAAATAATAGTGAGATATTAGACAGTAACCTAATTTTTTAATATATAGACGTTTCATTGCAAACGTGTACTTCTTATCTTGAGATAAATCAGTATATTGTTTTATTTCAGCTTCTATGATTTTCTTGGGAGATAGCCAGAAGCCAAACAGGAAAATGTTAGCATTGTATCCTATCGGACTTTTTTATTTCATAATATCGTGGTTGGTTATATCGCACACTAGTTCATAAACATGTAAATATTTTTAGAATTAAGTCAATGCATTGAGTCGTTTTAATCAAGTGTAATGCGTTTTGTACATATACAGTTTTGATGGACAGTATTTATATAATTTATTGTACAAATATAATTTCAAACATTACTAGTCTGCTTTATCCATTATCTGTGACCCCGATTTTAGTGCGGTTAAATAGCAATGGATAACATTAAAGGATAGATTTAATAGCTGTTGCATATACGAGGGTTGTCTCAAAAATATGGTTCCTACGTTTTTTCAGGTACAAGGAATTTTTTATTTGAAAAAACGAATTTATCATTGGAAACGTTGATCTTTAAGCTATTTTTTAGACGTGGAATCCACTTTTCCACTCCCGCCTCAAGTCCGCCGGCAGCCCGCTTGGAAATTTGATAACTGCTCCTTGCAACTCCTCGTCCGTTTCGAACCGTTGACCATTTCAGCTTTTTCTCAGGCCTCAGGAATCTCAACCGCCTGTTTCCGGATCGTGATTCGCCGATCTTCGAGCACGATTTGATCAACCTTCGCCATAACTTTCTCGGAGATCGACGGCCTCCCTCGTCGCTGTTCATCGTGGATGTCCATGCGGCCGTCAAAGGCCATTTGAGGACATGTTGAATGCATATACACGTTTCCCATATACTCCACTCAACTGGCGATGAATTTCTATGGGTGGTAACGTTTTTGGATGCACAAATCGGATGACCGCACAAATTTCGCACCTAGCGGTGATGGCGATGAAGGGCTCCATTGCGGATGGCTGTCAGGCCGGTACCGACCGTCGCCAATAGGCACTTCTTGTTGGGATCGGTAGTGGGGGAGCGGACAAACACGACTGTGTTGACAGATTTCGCCTAGCATCACGCGCGGCGAAGTTACAGCGTTGGGAACCTTATTTTTGAAACAACCCTCGTAGTTATTGATGCAGTATTCGGATTTTTTCGCCTGTATTAATTAATTGAGTACCTAGTTTAGATATCTCCCTTCATAAAAACGTATTTTGAATCTACTCGTTTCTGTGATAGACTGTTTCAGTGAATTTTCCATACAGTATATAAAATATCGAACCTGACATATTTTACTTAGCGAAAAATTACTATGACGGAATTGGACGTGCAACATTTATCCGAAAAATGAAATTTACGAAGCCTTTATTCTCAACTTTTTTGCTTAACTTATTGTAGGCATCAGTTCAGCGACGTTGTCTGTTTTGAAAAGACAAGCAGCTAACAAATCTTTCCTTAGATTGTAAATGCTTATCAGTTGTTCACTTCATTTGTCCGGCAGTGCGTGTCTTGCCCAATTAATAATATCTGTCGACAATTAGTAGCTTTATCAAACAGATATTCATCACTGAAATATCTATTATATGCGAACGCTGAAACAGTGATTCATAATCGTAATTGTTGTTCATGCCTTCCTAGAATGAAGAGTATTTTGAGAATTTTAACAGGGTTTTGTGCCTTCTACGTCACTTTTGCAATACAATGTAAAGATGAAAGTGATAAACCAGTGGATTGGTGAGTATAATGTATATCCAATTTAAGTTTACTCATTTTAAGACTTTTGGGAGTATATAGGGTTCTTTGTACTATAGAGCACACGTTTTCCTGTCAATGCGAAAAATTGTATATATCTATGTATATGCTGAATTTTGCTCTTCTTTGTTTAAAGGTTTTACGTATACAAACTGCCAACAATAAGACACCAGAGTGGTAACAAATTGTTGAAGGACGGTGTGGCATATACCTTTATGACCTCTGAAGATTATAGTGACTGGAAATTTTCAAATGTTTCAATTAACAGTACCGATTCTATCATTGGACATACACTCAAAGACCTATACAAAAGACAAGTATGTAGGAAATGGAATAAGATGTGACTTATTTAAGATACGATTATCTGAAATACAGATACAAAATACGTATTTTCATCTTGTATCTTATAAACTTTTTTAAAATTGTTTTTGTATCTTGTATTTAGATACCTTTCGTTATCTCAGTATTTGGTGAATACTATGTTTGTGAGAATACTTTTAGTGATGGTTACCTATGCATTTCTCCACATAACGTGCCCTTGAAACTTTAGACTATGGCCAAGATTATGTAAAGAACTTATCCTGACTAAAACACGGAAAATTGGTCGTTCTGATAAACAAAAATAGGAAGCCTTATACAATATTGGAAATGATATAAAAGGGAGTCAAAAGTAAAGTCTTATTACATTCTTAAAGGACTGATTCCTCTATTGCGAGTGGAGAAAACAGTGAAAACATAGGGTCTAATGACAGCAGCACTGACTTTAAAATACTGCAATACCTAAATAATAAAGACACCACTTTAAATGACTTAAATGCTTATCATACAAAAAATTATAACACCTGTTTGCCAATTTCTGCCCATGTGGAGCGACTTTTCTCTTTTGGTTCTACTTGTCTGGATTAAAACCTTAAAAATATGATATTTTGTCAGACTTGCGTAATCAACGCGTAAATAATTCATGTATTAAAATAAACTCAATAAAACATTGTTTTCTTACAAAAGTATTTAGCTTTAAAAAGTTTTTAAAAGATACTTATTTTGTAACTAGTACTTCAGATCCATTCCAGAAAGTATTTTGCATATGAAATACTTATTTTAGAAGTGACTTGTATTCCAGATACTTTATATAAGGTATCTTGCACAACATCAAATTGTGGAATATATGATATACTTTAGATTTGCCAAGTTCCAGTATTCCACTAATTTTCAGCATACTATAATACTTAAAAAATGATTGCAGAATGAATTACTCCACGTTTTATACAACGATCAACCGCCGCAACATAAATCAAATGAAGAAAAGGGGCACAATAAGGGTGTCATTTTGGCAGAAAGTCAAGGTGGTTTTTGGCTGGTACATTCTGTACCTCATTTTCCCGACATAGGAGATAAAACCTACAACTTTCCAAGAACTGGAGCAGTTTATGGTCAAAGTTTCCTATGTATTTCGACAGATTTGAGAAATCTTGACACTGTAGGTATGTCACAAATGGCTTTTGCAGCAACCTTCTTATACCAAATATCAGTAGTAAAGACAACTAAGACTTGAATTTGGATTTTGGGAGCTCCATAAAACTTAATAAATCATCCACAATACTTCTACAGGTCTTCAACTTCAGTACAACAAGCCATATGTATACAGCACGAACATCCTTGCTACTTTAAAATCTTCACTGCCCAATTTAGTAGGAGCTGCATTAAACAAAACTGTAACCAGTCCACCATGGTTCCATTTGGCAAATATCACTTCTAATAGAGGAGTTTCGTTCTTGTCATTCGCAAAATCTAAGGAGTTCGCTAAGGATCTGTATGCAGATTTAGTCGCACCATCTTTGCAATCGAATCTGAATGTAGAAACATGGCCAAACGGTGTTGGGAGACTCAGATCTGACTGTTCGAAACGATTCAAGTATGTATAAAATGTATGTTATGAGGTTCGATCGGAACGACGTTCTTCTATGCTATACAGTGAAAACCAGATTTATCTGAAGGCTTGCGTTCAATGTGTAGAGAGAGAAGTGTGTATCAACAGATGTTAGAAAGAGATAGAAGCCGGCTGAAGAGCGAAGGTCATCACTACATTGCCTAGCGACGGTGACGCAGAAGGTCGTGCAATCTGCCGCGTTGTCAATATGTTATATCAGAACATGTTCGCACAGGCTTCTACAATAGGTTAGGTTACGGTCAACCTTGGGAAGGGGGTCTGTTTGATACTTAATATTTTTCATTTTGAACGAATGTTCACATTAGACTATTTTAATTCAATGGCATAGATTCATTATTATTGATCAATAAAATTGACCAATGAAAACGCGGCCCTAGGATGCTGTTGATCGAATCGCAGTAACAGAAATTCAGTTATCAACAGTGGCGGATCTGTGGTCTCTGGGACTAAAGCACAAAGGTCATATGAGGCACTTGCTGCTGATAGCTGAGGAGATGCATTTGAGACACAGGGCCCGACACACAATGTGTCATGTTACATCCGTTTCTAGTGACCAGTAAATCTTCATCTCTCACTATACAATTCTTTGGTACAAATATCTTAACATGAAATAAGTGGCTAGACTTTCTAAAGAAGTCCTACTTTGTATGTTCAAATCTTTTTAATTCTACCAATAAAATAGTAAATAATTTGTAGGGTATACAATGTTAAATCATTAGAGCTAAATGTAACTGATGTTCTTTTTACTACAACTGAAGATCATTCTAAGTGGGCTGTATCTTCAGACAACAGAAATTGGATATGTGTAGGTGACATAAACCGAGCTGTAAGTAAATTTTTGAAGAAATATCTGTAATCATTATAAGGGTATACCAAAATAGTAGACTTGAATTGTACATATTTATATAAATCAAGAATTTTAATATTTTGTGTCGCTAGCCTGGAATTCAGCTTATAGTTTCACAGCTATAGCTGCAATTACCAGTATCAACTCATATAATACATAATATATAATTTTGTGGTCTATTTCAGGAATCTCAAAAAAGCAGGGGTGGTGGAACTGTCTGCATGAACAACAAGGGACTTGCAGTGAATTATCAAAAATCGATACAGACCATAGAACAATGTGAAAACCATTAATCTACAATTTTATTGTTAAATAAATATGCTATTTACATTCACACTATGCTTTTAGATATAACCATCTCATTACTTCTTATCTTGAAAATAAGGTACAAATTTTGAAGGTTGGGGGCATCTGTAGTTCAACATTTCGATTTCTGCTTCGAAGTAACTGGTCTTGTCATAGCAGAAGTATTCTGGGTTCTTGTAACCCGTGTTTTTTGCGGCACCGGGTCCAACGGGTTGATTAGGAACGTTCACACATGCTTTGGACAGTCCTTGGACCGCAGGAATGGAAGTAGATGAAGAAGAGGCGGTTGCCTTCTGTTTTGAAAATATCACCTTTCCGCCCGCAAAGTAGCGTTTCGTTGATGAGAAGTTTCGGTATTTGAGTAAGTTATTCAGAAACATGTTTGAGCAAGCCATTTCTGGAATTAAATATTACTTTAAAAAAATACTTCTATTTTTAGATGTATAGGTTATATTTATTCCAAAATGTCAAGAAGATATGTGAAGGTCGTGGCCATCGACTGTCGTAACAAGTAATAGAGGTTGGATCACCGATTCGGAAGAGTATCGAATATAATTCGATGCTGGAATATCGATAGATCCAATAAGATTGGTAGTGATTGTTCCCATGTCCCCTATTCCTGATATAAGGATAGCACAGAAAAATACTATTACTGGAACATCTCAACCGACTTGATTAACTCGACCGGCTGTCAACCTTGTAAGAATAAAGAAATGCTACAATTGAGTATTATTTTAACCAAAATACTGGGAATAATCAAAGTAACGAGACTAATTAGGTAAATCTTAAAATATTATCATATTAAGGAATTAACTAAGTTTCAGTACCAAACATCTGAGAAGTTAGCTGATCAGGAAGTTGAATGTCCATATATGTCGATGGATTTAATCACTAGTGAATAGTTCTGATAATTACTTTAACATTGTTGAAACAGGGAAATAACGATACTTTGGAATTTTTGTACAAGTTATTTTCACGGACGTTTTCACACCAACAATACAAAAATATTATCTATGCCTACCTTCAATATACTGCAAATGATAGACTGAATTATATTTAAGAAACTTAGTGAAAGGTAAAATTCTATATACCTACATAAATGGTACAGCAAATCATAAGTACTATTGAAAAGTGGACCAACTGGATCGTGATAATGACTCACTACTTTAGGTCACACGCTGCTATACCGCTTACATAATGTTTTTCAAAAAGCCTCACACCATTACTTATTTTTTGAACGGGTGAAGTTAGAGAGCTGAAATTGGGATAACGGACAGACAAAAGAGACTGAAGGAAATTAAGGACATGACTTTTCGTGATGTATATGTGTCATGTAACATCCAAAAAACATTATCTCTCATTTTCAAAACTTCGAGATTACAAATATATACTTCCTCGCCACTGGCGTAGGAAGTAAAAAAAGTTTTTTTAAATCGAAATAAATGTAGGGTAGTTTTTTTACGTATGAATCATCTGTCACATCTTTACGCGAGATTATAAGCTATAACTAGCTCCCTCTACATTTTACTGTCGGATTCCTCATCATCAGAGACACGCGATTTCAAATTTTCTGCAGACGTGCAGACCATCCATGACTCCCGCCGCCCCACCTCCACAGTGCATCATGTGTCGATCAAGCAATCAGGTTGCGGGCATCAATAGAACCTATTCTAGGTTTTCATTTTCGAAAATGTTCGCGATTACAATACTTCCTTGCCAGTAGGCGAGACGTAACAATTTACAAAATCTGCCGAGATTTTAAACGAAATGTCTCATACTTCATTACACATTCAGTTAGGATTTTCAAAAATAAGAAGGTTGATATATTAAACTTTAGCGCCCTGATGATTAGTTGTTGAGTTACAAGCGATTCAAAGCACAAAAACGATGAGCTGACATCCTGTTCGCTATTCAAAAAGATGCTGATTTATACTACTGAGGGTTGTGAAATAAGCAGCTTCATGACCCACCTTCCCCCATTCCATTAAAAAAAAATGTTACAACATGACACCGACGCTCACCCTCCACCTTGAAATTTTCAGCGTCAATGTCATCATCATAAATTGCAACTCCCTAAATTAACCCATCAAAAAAATAAGTAGGGAAGGTCTTTCTGAAAAGCCCTCTGTATATAGGATTTTGTACCTTTTCTGCAGCTGCGTGAGAGAATTACGTAACTTGAAAAGTGACATTAGGGAGTTTTCGCATAACGCTTAGAGAAGCGACGTAGGCGAAAACGCTGTCCGGTAAAGCACATTACGTATACGTTATGTTAATCGGTTGTGGATACTTTTCGCAACAGCATGGTAAATAACGTGGACATAACCTTAAATTTGTGACCTTAAAGCTGTACCCTACAACGCTACAACCTCAATACTTTGGCTGTAAATGTGTCTGACTAAATGGAACTTCTTGATTTGGCCGCTATAGGGGCAGTGAACAACGAGGAGTTCGAGATTGGGATTTTGCACAGCATTCTCAACAGACAAATTCCCCGTTCGCTTGACTTCTTTCGCAGTACACATAATACAAACTTTATGAATAAAAATGAAGACCACAGGCCAACAGATTTTTTTTCAAATGACGAAAAATCACCCATTAACGGCACCTAACCTCAAATCATAACGATCATCGCCCGATTGGTGCCGGGTATCCACGAAACGATCATATACCGCCTCGCGTTAAGTGTTCACAAATTAGGGTAGGCGGTAACGTAATTAGTGCCCGCTATCCTGAAGGCCACGACTGAGCATGCGTATCTGTCAAAATAACGCGCCTAGAAAATACCGCAGCGCGTTAAGTGGCATGCGAAAACTCCCTATTATGTAGCTTTTCTTACAAGATTTCAACTAGGAACTAGATGTCGTTGATTTCTTGCTCACTTGCAAGAACTATTTGCACAGTACGAGCTGTCTAGTCAACAAAAGTTGACGTTTTATCTTTTTTACATTATATAGGTTTTTTACGTAATAACCCTGCCGGGATTTGTCCCCGTTCCTATTGGGATTAGATCTATGATATTCAAAAAATATCGAAGTGTACCAAAATGCATCATCTCCCATCTCTCGGTCATGTATGTATAAAACGCATGGAAATCTGTCAATTCTGTTTTAAGTTTTTGAAGTTCTTAGAGGTTATGGTTTTAGGCGGTTAGATTGATTTGCGCGATTTGCCTTTCGGTCAGTGATGCCGGACCTACCGATTTTTCGGTATCTCTACCGACGGAGACATTTACTGAAATACCGAAAACGTTCCCATTTTGCACGATTTTTTAGAATAATCAATATATTTCCAGATCTTTACCAAAAAGAGCTAGGACCAAAAATAAACCAAACAAATAATTCCATTTAGTTTATGTTGTTTTATTTACCATATCATCAATCATACATAATGCGAAGACTTAAGTGGGGCGCGAACCAGGGCGGTGGCGGCCGCAGTAGCTATAGCGATCGCGGTGGCGACCATATAAGGCGCTTATAATTAAACTGAAGTTCGCACACCAGCGGCGATCTGGCAGACGCGCCCGCCTTCTTTGCCGCGTTCTACCGCGGCCAACTTGCAGCCTGCGGTAGAACGCTGCATGCATCATTTGTCCGCATATTTCGCGCGATATTCTTTCTACGGGGTAGTAGCAAATATGTCTGATACCGAAAAACTTATCGTAAATGTGCGGGAACATTCCATTTAGTATGACTAGTCTCGCCAGTGACTATAAGAATACTTAAACAAAAAAGACAAAATATAGGACGAAATTGCTTGATCTACAGGTGGAACAATGGGTAAGTAGCTACAGTATTTACTTTTATAGTTTTTTATTTAGACAAAAAAGTATCTTTTAACACTTATCTAATTATTATTATTATTATTATAATTATAATTATTATTATATATTTTGCGTTTGTTGATCTTCGGGCATCGTTTGCAAAATTTTGCTTTCCCGATCACAATTGATATCATGAACCCAAATCCTTCGCTTTTTCCTAAACTAAAAAAAATATATAAATAATAACTTGAGTATATTTTGCATTCGCAATTTTTTCCTATTCTTATTATTATTAGTAATTTGTTTACTTATCTTACTTTCCTCATTTTCATCCACTAACAAAGCCAAAAGCAAAGCTTCTTCTTCTATATCCTGTACACTCATTGCATATTTCAATTTAGAATACTCTTAAAGATACTAAATTTGTCGCTGAAAAATCGCATTGTTTTGCGGACATGTAGTCCGCCCGGTGACCGCCACCGCGATCGCTATCGCCAGTGCGGCCGCCACCGCTCTGGGTTGCGACTTGCGCCCCACTTTAAGCAGTCGGGCTGTCGGGCACACGAGGGACGTGGACTTGAGCATTATAATTATGTACGCGCATTGCTTGCTCCCATTTTCCTGTATTGTTTTTTATGCGTACAAGCAGGTGCAGACTGATAGATCACCACCATTACCGCCTCACCGGACAAGCAATAAGGAAGCCAAAGCTCGTCTGTTTTCAATTAAATATTATATAATAAATTAAGAAGAATGGAGAAAGGAGTTTCCAGGATGGTTGTGAAGAAGTTTGAAGAGCGACCAGTATGTAATAAAGAAGTTAACCAGACAACTCTGATTGTTTTCTTCTACCGATTTTGTACTTGAATCTAGCGAATTCCAACAACTGTCTAGAGACTTCGTCTTTTATGGTTCGGCAACACTGGTATGCGTTGCGTGTATCCAACTGTCCATCTTTGCATCCTTCTGTGAGATTGCTGATTTCGCCGCAACTACATTTTTATATGTTTTAACAAAGTTGTGCTGTTCTTTATCTTTTGTAAATTTAAACAGTTTGGTAAGTCATTCTAATTGTTAAACATATTGGTGTTCAATCCGATACAACTCATTTTTGTAAACCTCTTTTAGGTACTCATACCAAACGGTATTTCTTCTGACCCCTACATTTTGGCTCTATTCGCTCCCCTTAAAGATCCGAAATCCGAAGAAATATTTGCTGACACAACCAACTGAGTCATTACGAGTCGTGCTATTGTTGTTGTAGAATTATGCCACCAAAAAAGCAAAAGCAGACTCCTCATAATGCATTCTACTACTTCATGCTTGATTTTAAAAACTCGCAAGGGAGAAATTACAGGAGTATGAAAGAAGTAGCTGATGCAGCTGATCCTGTTTGGAGTGTGAGTATAAGGGTACTTTAGAGACAAGCATTACTTTTTTTTTAACGTTGTGCTGAGCTACTCTGAGCACACTTAGTAATAATTCCTGAACTCTTTTCAGCAATGACACTGATCGAAGTGCAGGTGATGATCAAAATGTGCCTTAATTAGTGTACATGGTGTTTCTCAATAAGTTTCTTAATATTTGATAAGATGATTCCTTGAGGCACTTTTAAACAGGTTTTTACTTCATTGTTTATATGGAAGCCCCATAGGCAAAAGCTCAAATATTGGGGTACTAGGGATACTATAAGGAACACCTCTTCTTTTGCTTACTTATAACAAAAAGTAGAACTATAGGTCTGTAGTTGTAAGGGTCAATCTCAGATCCATTTTCTTGGGGCAGGCTGGACATCAGAAAGTTTTCAGTTTGTTGACAATGTACTGGATTTGTAGGAAGAAAGCAAAAGAACTAGAGCAGACCCTGCTACACATATCATCAGTACAACAGCAGACTAGAACCTTTGTTGATGTTGATTTAGCTGCAACAGAGTAGCTAGCAAAATATGGTGTTTTTAGTATGGCCCAGCTACCTAGCTGCACATGTTTGACATTTTTGATATAATTTCATATACCTATTGTCAGATTGCAGAAGGATCACAATCTTACTCAATACAATGCGAGTAATGTGTGCTTGTAATCTGGCACAATGCCACCAATCTGTGGTCTGTCATCATTACCAGATTTGATCGCCCTTCTAAGAGAAATTCTCACAAGTGTTTGTGTCTATGCATAGAATGGACAATATAACTTTAGTTCAGAATTCAAGATTATACAAAAAATATTGAATATAAGGGTTAATCTATTCAAGATGCTTGAATTAGATATTATCATATTAACTATTTTGTTATCATACAGTGAAATTGTTTTTATTTTTTTTCAAGTGTGATCCGTGCATCATATCAAAAAATAGCCATAAAATTTGCTATAAATTATTTGAGATTTCAAGAATAACATTTATTCTAGGAGAAATCAGAGGCATATCATCAGGTGAGTTTGGGTAGAGTTGTACAAAAAAGTGGTACACTAAAAAATGGTGGAGTTTCATAAAAAAATTAACCTTGAAATTCCTATTTTACTCTACAGCTTGAATGGCTTGATGGATTTTGATGTATAAGGTGTCTCAAGATCTCTCTTCATAGCACATTCCATTCTTTTTAGTTACTGCAGTAGGGTTGTTCCTATCTTTGAAACTGTGCTTGGATAATCTTTTAGAGGATTGAACTTCCTTTCATTTGGTATGTAAAGGATGAATTTTTAGTGTGGGTGTATTATTACACATGGTATCTAAAAAAATTAAATACAAAAGTTGTAACCAACAGTGCGCTCCTGACCTGGAAACTATCTCTATAATTGCAGCATAATTCATAACTATGTGGTGACCCAAACATACATTTTTACCTCCTACGCCTACTGGCAGGGAACTATTGTAATCGCGAAAATTATAACCGTCTATAATTTGAGAAATACAGATCGAATTTCGATGAAATTCTTACATAGTGTTGTGTAAAATGATACTTCCGAAAGAGGAAATTTTATCTTCCCTGTCCCTGTTTATTACTCTGCACCACTTCTATTTAATTCTTCTATGGTTTGGCACGGGTAAGCGTGTTTTTTTACTCGTTTCTAACGTAAATCCTAAATACAAAGCAGAACAACGTTTGTAAATGGCGCGAAACATGCGCGGCCGGCGCATCGCTTTGAGGTAGCAATGGTAGTTGGTGCCAAGTGACGTCATCACCCAGTCTTGCGCTCCAATAAGAAACTTCTGGACAGCGTAAGTTTGTAAATTTTTAAGATATTCAAAAGATTTTTTCAGTGTTGTGCTTCACTTAGACTATCATGATAATTTCCATTCATTGTAAAAATTGAAAGAAAAGATCTTAAGCCATGTACAGATATGTAACAACACCGCGAACCAAACCACGCGACGAACCGCGCCGCGCTAGTGTAGACGGTGAAAAGAACGCCGTCGCGAACCTGGTCAGCGTTACAGCTCGCCGTTCGGCTCGATCCAGGCTCTGTCGGTTTTTCAGCGCAACATCAAAGGAATGGCTCGCGACGAAGTTGCACATGTTTGGACAGGCATACCAGTGCGGCGAGCACCAATGTGTTATTTTGAAATGTACGAATACTTAAAAGTAAAAGAATTATTTGTCTTACTTGTATATGTTCCTTTAAAACTTCGATAAATGCCTCACAAACTTCTGGAAAATCCTTCTGAGACATCCTCGTAAAATTTTTGTACTGTCCACTTACTTGCCGGTTAGATCGTCGAAAACAAGAAATCTTTTAAATAAGGGACTATGGGCAAAGTTGATAATTCGCATCTTTGTATTTTTTGTTGTTTATATTCTTGATGATTACAAGCAACCAAAATCTGTTTATTTTTTTGATATTATGGGGCAAAACAGGTGGCAGACAATTGATGGCATTTTGGCTGGCAAGCTGTATTTCCTGCAGCTTGTAGTCAATCTTTGTTATTGTTGTCAGTGTTGTTGCCTTGTTTATTTTCCAATATTTTTAGTGTTGTAGTGACTTCTGAACTGTACACTGGAATTGCCAAAAACGCGTGTTCGCCTGTCAAAAAAAAAAAAATAATAAATCCACTTGACCTGGTTTGGTTATTATTTTAGTCCTTCGTCGATTTTGTCAGTAGTTTAGGAATTTCCCACACACTGTATCACAAAAATCAAAGCGTTGTGGATGCATTATGTGAACTTTTTGTCTTGAAAACGCCCAAGGAATCATATTGTGAAATATTGGACACTATTTGTTATTGAATCCAATTAGATCATATCTTATGAAAGTATAACTTTACTAAATCATTTATTAAGATGAGATTCATGTCCGTCTAGCTTATAACTGACACTGGATTAGTCAATTGCATATATCTCTTTTACAAGTGATAATTTACTAAATTATATAGATTTTTAGTTTAGTTTCAGCTGAATGTAAACAGTTTACCACCATTGAAATGTTTTAATTTGACATGTATATGATCATTAGATTAAGTATTGGTGACAGTATGCTGAACTCAAACTGTATGAATATAGGCCTTTTATTATAAAAATGAGGTATCTTATTTTTATATTGTCATAAAATTTTGATTAAAATAAAAAAAGGCAATCTGTTGAAATCATCAATATGTTCTGTTGTGTCCAATTTGAACAACTCTTCTTCTGTCATTCTGAAATCATATATTTCTCAGTGGGGTTTGAGATAGATTCCTTCGAGCAGTTAAGTTTTTGTTATTGCGGAAAAATGTATTGCATTTGTCTATTTCACTTGCAGTAAAATTATTACTTGTATTTTTTTCATTGTACTTATACATCTTGTCTATTAAACATATCTGTGTGAATTTACAACCACAGCAAGTGTCCTATTATGATAATGAGCCACTGATAAAAAGTATAAATGTGTATGTTTATCGTTTGCTTATTAGTTGATTGTTTCAAGTTTTTCAGTACATAGATATTTAGCAAGAGGTTTTTTGCATTCATGACGGACCCAGTTTTTAATGAAAATTGATAGAACAAATTTTTTTCTAATAATTTCTGTTAGTATGTGGCTGAACTTTTGATGTTTAATTATATTTTTTAGCCTTTACAGTTGTCCTGTCAAATAAAAAATAATTTAGTTGATATCTGGGTGAAGGGTGAAGTGTCAAGTAGGTTGCATTGTTTCTCTTGTTTCTATGATTCATGGTATATAAACAAATTGAGAAATGTATCATGGTATAAAATGGCGTGTTTGAAGATTTTTTTGATACATATTGAAGGAACAATTTTGTAGAGGATGAGCAAAGAAGAACGTAAACCATTTGAAGAAAGAGCACTTTTGGAAAAGAATAGATTGAGAGCTGTAAAACTTACGTCTGAGGGGTATGATGTTGCAGAGCTTGAACAAGAAGAAATGGTGGAAAATAAGAAAATGCAAGAAATGAGACATAACATAAATTCTATTATTGGAGTGGCTGATAAGTCTGGAGGTAAAATGTTACAATAATTTTTCCGAGTACAGATCTCTAACACAGTAAAATGATGATGTAAAAGAAAACCTTATGAAGACTAGAATAGTAGTAGTATATTATAGAGGTCAGACAATATTATCCTCCATTCAGGCGTAAGCTAAATATCCCAAACTTCGTTAGTTTTTGTTTGAAGCGCCAAAATAAAAAAAAATCGTGATGCATTTTATTAAATTCTATGTTCAGTCTCTTTCTCTATGATTTATTGTCTCAAAAACTAAAATTCAAATTTTCATCCATTACCCTGAATATTGGGCGAGCTTCGGAACTGGCAGCCCACCGGCAAGGTTATTACGTAAAAAGCCGATTTAAAGTAAAAAAAAAAAAAAGGTAAAATGTCAACTTGTCTCGATATCTCGTAGGGTGCAAATAGATCATTCCACGTCTACTACAAGCGAGCATGAAGTGAAAGACAGCTACTTCCTAGTTGATATATGAAAATTTACATGCCAAGAAAGTAGCTGCAAGGCTATGCACTGAATTTTTTAAGCTTCTCACAAGAGGTAGATGAGTTAATTTGATCAAAATATGAGATATTCTTGTTAATAATTTCATTATAAACAATTTGAAATACGAGAGGAGGCATTTATAGTCAAAGAAATAAAAAAAAAATGCAAAAATCTGACTCACGAATTTAGGTTCATTTAATTTTTATCTCCCAAAATTTGGGTTACTCGCGAAATAGGGTTGTTTCACAGAAATTTTTATTACACCTAATCAAAAAAAGTGTAGCGTCTTTTTTTGACTATGGTGTAAAGTGAGATTCAGTTTGTATAAGTTAACGAAAATTTTTGTATGTGTACAAAGGATATTTTTTGTTTTAGCTGGAATTGATCCATCCATTTTTACTAGTTATTGAATACATGATACTAAATGGTCAATAAACATCTTCTGCTCATAATTGAAAACACAAGTCAATAAAGGTGTCATGTAACAAAATCATTGTATAAATTCATTTTTGTGTTCTGCTACTGCTTCACATATGGCGCTAATATCGTTCAAATCCCTTTTTACACAGTATATGGTTGGTTATCTTCAGATAGAATACGTTAGTCAATGCTTATATTGTTTGCTTAGTTTTCATAAGTATGCGTTGTTTAAAGCTAATTAGTATCTCATTCGTTTCATCATCCAGCCTATGGTTCCGATACATTTTTAACATCAGCTGATTGAATAACATACTTGTCTTTCTTCCTATTGGCTCGCGGCTCAAATATGTCCACGAATCGAATGTGCGTTACAGTTTCAGCTTAAAAAATAATATTTTTGGCTACGAAGTTTCTGGAAGGGTCAGTTAGGCTTGGCCTAAAGGCAAGTATACTGTTCACTTTTATTTTAAGTTGAGTCATATATAAGTAACTACCAGTGATGTGTAGACACAATTCATGTAATATTTTTGCAAGCATTATTACAGGTTGTGTGATTTCGTATCTAGGGATTGTTTTCTGTTGGGTACATATATGTTAGTAGTAATCAGCAGTGGTGGCGTGGTGGTAGACGTTATGGGTATACTAATCAGGCGCTGTGCGCTGCGCGGTTTCGAATCCCCCCCACAAGAGAATTTTTTACTTGGCTATGGATGTCGTGATTGTCCGGTAGGCGGTAGATGGCCTTTAACTATCGAACGTGGACGAACCTAAGGCTTCGTGGTGGCACAAGTATAAAAAAAAATAAATAAAAATGCGTGGGTTCCATACATCCTAGAGCTCCAAATAATTTCCGAAAATGATGATTGTTTCTGTGGATTGAGAAAAGCGGTGTATCGATATTATAGTCATTGGCGTTGCGCAAGGGCATGCATCATAACTTTGGCCTTTTACCGGGACAGCTGTGAGGAAATTTTAATTCATTTCATTCCACTTCTTGTTTCTTTAAGTGCTCAGTCACAATCTAAAGTTTGTTAACAGAATTCTATACCTAACGAAAACACTGAAAAATGCAAAATATTGGAATTCAAAATTTTTTGATGGACAATAAAGCCTATCGAAACTTTAAGTTTATATCGAGTATTCAAAACTAAATTAGTATGTTGCTAAAAATATATAAAATTGGTGATTTTACACCTAGTTCCATATATGATTGTAGTAGAACTATGTAGCGTCAATATTGAAATCAGCATCTAATCATTCAAATACAGAACCAGTCGCCAATTTCACATAATTTTAATCAATATACTACCTTAGTTTTGAATTCTCTTCGGTGGAACTCGCCACTTTAGAAGTTTTTAGGAAATGTATTTACTTTGGCGCCATTATACTGTTGTAACTTTACGATCTCATTTTAGTGCCATAAGATTTTATGAAGGAAGATCACTCTGCTCGGATCACAAGCACTTAGTAAAACCGGGTTCAAGCAAGGTCTCTCACTATTTCTAATATCAGTTATTCCGCAATACTGCCGTTTAATGAAGTGAGTTTCTCCTTCCAAAATCACGAGTTAAGCAGAATTGTCCATACTGTGGATAAAGATTTACTTCCGTTTCTTGGACTTATTTATCTCGGTTTATTTACAATTACTGAGCGATTCGTATCACAACACATAGTATTTCTGTTCTGCTGTACGTGAATACAGACAGTACGACTGCCTACTTGAACATTCTCTCAAGAGAAAAGAATGTATGCCACTGTATTGGTTTGTCACTTTGGTAGACAAATTAACCCAAAGTACGCACTAAAACTACGCAATTTTTGCAACAAACAATGCAATGTAAATATAGGGGCTTGGATCTTTCTAATCTATTCTAATTCATTGGTGATATAGTATGTATTAATTTTTTACATAAATATCTTCATTTCGTTTTTTCCTTATTTGTTTTATTTCATTTCAAAGATCTATACTCCTAAAAGACACCTTTACAACTCGATATATACCATCAATTTTCAGTTTGATAATTCTATTTCAGTGCTACCAGAGGAAATTTTTTGCATTATACACATAAATACGTTTATATATCACGTAGCCGAGCAAAGGTATTTCCCTGCGGAAATAGCTGTTTCTTCATTCACTTTACAACATGGCATCGTCAATGACGGAGGCGTTTTCCATAAAATGATTAAACCAGGTAAAGTGCCGATATGCAATTGGGATTGTTAAATATATACAAAATAATAATTTTAAGGTACTCTGCCTTTGGGATATGCAGCAGACGCCAGACTTCATGCAAATGAAACGCACCAAATTGATCCGCCTACTCTTGGTGATGAGGCAAATAATGAAGAAGAGGCGTTTCATGAGTTGAAAGAATTTATGCAGGTACCTTCGGCCGCATCAGCAGACGCCGACTGTTGAAATTCGCTGGCTTATAATTGAGGTGTAATGACTGGTGGCGTGACAACTATCAATCACACATGAACGCTTCTCAACAGCTGAACAACCGTTACGTCTGCTGGGGTGTGTTCTCAAATCGTACCGTATCCAGGAATTTGGATTGTGACATTTTATCCTATTATACTGTGGAATTTTGTTTTTAGAACGCCTAAACTAAAACGGGGCACTTGATGACAGCCGGATTATTTCCGTAAGAGACGCTGTTTCCAAGAATCCATCTGCAGTTGATAAATACATGCTTATATTTAAAAAGGTGATTCTTGGACCAAATTTAAGAAAAAAAAATCTTATGAACGCACATCATAAAATTCCAACGTTTGAGATACAGGGAGCTTAAATTTTTAGACACAAAAATTGTATTTTATAATAGTGTGATACTATTCCTGATATCTTTATGAAATTTCACACATCTTCTGTGTATCAAGGTGCATTTTCTGATGGCAAACAATTTTATTATTTCTTCCACTGGCGACTGTTCGGGTTTTGCATTGAATATTCTTGGAGGAAAAAAATGGTACGCAACTGCTTTCTCTTTAAATAGCAATCATTTTTGAAATCTCCATTATTTCTGAGCATACTTAATCTCTTGATTTCCTTCCGCCCGACTCATGGTTTTCGCTTAAAAAATAAAGATCGTTTTACTTCACACCGCACAGCAGTCGCCGCATCAGATTTTTTGCGATTTGACCCTGAAGTAAAACGATTTTTATTTTTTAAGCGAACACCATATGTCGGACGAAAGGAATACAAGAGATCAACTTTGCTCAGAAATAAATGAAGATTTCTAAAATTGTGACGTACCATTTTTTCTCCAGAAATATTCAATGTAGAACCAGTACGGACGCCAGTGCTAGAAGTAATAAGATCTTGTACATCAGGAAATGCACCTTACGGCATAGAAGAAGTGTATCAAATTTCATAAAAATATCTACAATAGTATCACAGTTAAAAAATACTGTTTTTTTTGAAAACTTTATATCTGAGAAGTTAAGACACTTAGGACATAGGTTCATATGATTTTTTTCTTAAAATGGTTCCAAGAATCACCTTCTTAAATATTAGCATATTTAGGAACAGCCTGTGTATAAATAACTATGAATAGAAAATTTTACCTAGCTTGTCATTATATTTTTTACAATTTTATTGTCGTTTATCACTGGTAGGTACGTTTAACGCGAAAAAAGTATATGTATTCTGTAATTTCTATAACCAAATGAAAATGCAAGCAAATAATACAACATTAAAATGACAAGAACAAACACTCGTTTTCCCAAGGATTTTATCACGGGAGGAAATGAACACTTTTGACGTTACAGAAGGACATCAAACAATTACGAGCGCTCAAGTTGTTACAGAGTAGTACAAAGTACACTTCCACTCGGACATAATTTACGAATATATCTTCATAGTTGGGTCATATATAAAAAGTAACATTGACAGACTTTTGAAATTATTTTGTTCATTATTTTTTTTTCAGACTCGTTTGGTTGGATCCAAGAGAATTCCAATGCTCTACACTATTTCAAAGGATTTAAAGATGGTTCAGCAGGTAAAAAGTCTTGCTTTTATTGTAATGGGGTATTAAATTAGGATGAATACAATTTAAAAGGATCAGGGGAGAGTCAGAGAGATTTGTCGTTAGTGACAGTATTAATTGACATATTCTACCTGAATATAGCCAACAATGTCGTATTGTATTTCGACGTCCAAAAGTTATCTGAGATGAAATCAGATCCCTTGGCTCATCTTATGAGAATTTGTCATAGCTACGCTTATACTCTCGGCAATCATTAGAAATCTACTTTGGAGACGTTGGTGTTTCATAGATTACACGGTAGCCAACTATATGCTCAAATCCTCTTAGATGTCGCAAGGGTATCTCCTTTTATCTCGGATAGTTCTTTAGATGCCGAAATACTCTGCTTAAACTGCTATATTTTGTACCTATACTAAGTTAATATTGTGGATGATATTGGAAAGAACCTATTTCAGGTACTTGATACCTGGTGTGACATTTTGGGAGAGGCACGGCTTTTCCAAGTGTGGAGTCTCCAGTACTTATTCAGAGTTTTGCGAAATACGGTCTCCAAGACAAACATGTGGAGCTCAGACACTTTCAGTGATAGAGTTATTGAGATGGACAAATTTGCCTATTCTAAAGGCATTTGTTGTAATGTAAGTGGGGATTTGCGGTATATCATATTTGGCATATTTCAATTAAATTTTCAATTTCTTTCAGTATCATGAGGTTACCAATGTTCCCCATTATTGCAGTAGATCAGTTGTAGTGCGCTATGCTTATACTATTTGTGATAATTGCTGCGGAGACTTGGATATACCTCTTGTACCTGGACATCATGTACCACTTACTTCTAAAGTGCCGAGAATTAGAGCATCTAGTCAAATGAGTTTGGCATCTTCAGTAAGTTAGAGAAGTTTTTCTGAATTGAATAACATGACTGTGAACAATTTTGACATTTTAGAATATGCGACCTACAACTCGTGATGACGACACTGACAGTGTGAACTCGATGTCCACTCATTCAGAATGGGAAAAAGAATCCGTAACTTCGTACACATCTGCAACAGATTCGGCCGATGATTTCCCGGCATTGCCAGCCGCTGGGAAGAATCCCGCTTCAACTATTTCGTATACAAATTTTGGCGATACTGACAGAGCTAGTGTCACTAGCTCCAGCAGCAAAAGTTACGCGGGATCTTGCACATCTGGCCGTGGTAGAGGCAGGGCCAAGAGACAGGCTGATTTGCGTAAGTTTTAGATGAAATTTTGTCAAGTATAAAGTTTTGCAATGTGACTTAACAAATGGACGCAGGAGGCTGCAAGTTACTGCATGTTGAGACATGTCCATGAGTGCATAGTAGCCACCAGCAGTACGTCTGTTGATTTAGTTGTTCAGTCGTATTGACAGTGTAAAGTGCGGGCTATGGCATCGTGGTCAACTAGTGAGATAAGGGCAGTTTTACGGTATAACTTTACGCGTGGTTTCAGTATAGTCCAGTGCTTAGAAGAAACGACGCTTGCATTAAAGAATGATTGTCCTTATCGTACGACTATATTCAGGTGGTACAGAGAATTCCAAGGGGGTAATTTCACTTTAGAGGTCGCTGAGAGGGAAGGAAGGCCGCGAACTTCAGTAACAGAGGAAAACATTACTGCTCTGAGGATAATGCTTGACGAACACCGGAGAGTGTCATGCCACAATTCATTCAATTCGGCGTCATTTACACGTAAGGAAACCTTGTTCTTTCTGGGTACCGCAAAGTCTGACGGAAGAGCAGAAGACTGTTTGATAAGGGGCAATCTCGGTATGTCAACAGCATCGTGACAGGTGACGAGACTTGGATCTATTATAACGATGTGCCGACCAAGGCTCAAAACAAAGTTTGGGTCTTTGATGATGACGACATACGCGTAGCTGTCCGAAAAATCCCGATCTGTCAAGAAAAACATGATAGCGGGATTGTAGGGCGTGTCGTTTCGGACACACAGAAGATAGTCACAGCTAAGCGGTACACGGAACAGCGCCTGCCTAAAGGCATAGAGTCCATGAAAAACCTGCGACCAAAGCCAAGAATGGACTCTTGGTACCTCCACCATGACAACGCTCCAGCTCACCGCGCCAAAGCCTGCACCGAGTGTTTGACCACTACTGGACTGAAACTTATTGAGCACCCTCCTTACAGTCTGCGACTTTGCACTGTTTCCGTATGTGAAAAAGGAGCTAAAAGAAAAACGGTTTTTAACGATGAGGACCTGTTGAGGGCTTTGGACGAGTGTGCCCCACTCCTGGGTGAAACTTGGCAGAGCTGGTTTAAGGAATGGTTTTGGCGCATGGAGAAGTGCATTGAATGTGGTGGAAATTACTTTGAACCAGTGGCGGTTCCACTGTAGGAGCACATGAGCGCGTGCACCCCCAAGATAAATAATAAAAAATATGTATAACATCCATTTAATAATTTCTCAAATAAAGTCTGAGCCTTCCTGATATTTAATCGTATAACATCAAAGATCTAGTAGCTCTCCACTGGTGAGAGTGGTGAGTCACCACTCTTACCGCTGCGCTGCCTGATTCGGGCGATTCGGACTGGCCCGGTCCGACTGCCGCCAACGGGTGACGGCGGATGACGACGAATAGTCGGATATGCGATCATGTATGCGGGATTAGTGTGTTTCTCTCCCTGCTGTTCTGGTTGCGAGGTATAGCGGGGTTATCGCAATTTTAGTTGGAGTAGGCGCACACTTCTGGAGTGCGCCATTGTCCGTTGAGCGTGCATTTTATGCAGTAATCGGAGGTGTGTTCGAATTTTTATATTCGGAGCAGTATTTTAATAAGATATTGAGTTAAAATGAATGGTTTCACTGTGGAATATTTGAAACATAACTTCAGTTCATTGAGTTTGGAGCAAAAAATTGAAATAAAAAATGCGGGAAGACCTACACCAGAAATTAACTTAACTCAGACCACAAAGGGTAAATCTAGAGACTTTATTAGGAAGTTTAAAGTGGAAATATATGAACAGAATAACTGGACAACACACCGTTTGTTTTGTTTTTCCTGTTTGTTGTTTGGTCGCGGGGTTGCAGAACCTGCCTGGACAAAAAATGGAATAGCCGACTTGGGACATTTAGCACAAAAAGTTAAGAAACATGAAAACACTCAAGTCCATATCAATGCACTACTGGAAATGCAGCTTTTGGGAAAAGTAGATATACGGCTGCAGTTGGACAGTACATTTAGGTGCAGTATTCAACAGCAAAATGAACAAGTTAGAAAGAATAGGTATTTTTAGAGGTTTAAGTACTGGTATTTTTTTCAAATTTAAGCGATATTTCAACTTTTTTTTCTCATTCTCCACAACGAGTTGCAGTTTTGGATGAAATTGTTGGTGCTAGAGTTCCAGGTCTTCTCTTACAAGATGGAATTTTAAAAGCAGATCTATAAATACAGTATATGAATATCGCGAATTGTTAATAGAATGCATGGAAACAATAGAAGCCACTTCAGAACAAACTGTTACCATCAATCAAGCCACTGGTATTGGCCGAATGCTACAAGATTCTAAGTTTGTGTTCTAACTAACTGTCTTTTATCGAATATTGCCACATGCTGATATTTTATATAATCAGTTACAAAAAACAGTGACTGACCCAGTGCAAATTCAGAATGCCATAAAGTGTTTTGAAAACTGCATCCAAAAAAAGAGAGACCGCTTGGAAACAATTGAAACTGAAATTTCTGAAGATACCACTACTACTCAAACTAAAAAGCGTCATGCAAATGAAGACCAGCATATTTGCAGAACTGTTGCAGCCAAGGAAGTTTGTGATACCATAATTACACACGTAAGAGATAGATTTTCTTTTACAAAACATTTAAATGCAACTATTCTTTTTTCTTCTGATAAATTTCCACAATTTGAAAAGCATTTTCCATTGCAATACTGTAGTAGAAGCATATTCGTTTTTAGATAAAGTTCGTCTCCAGACTGAATTGGAATTAATTTACTGGCGACCTGATTTCAGAAATATGAGTGGTGCCATTAGTTTGTTACAGTTTTTTATAGAAAATAATCTTCAGAGCATATTTTCTGCCACCTTTACACTTTTACAAATAATTGTTACCATACCAATGACTACGGCCGAAAGTGACAGATGCTTTTCGACATCGAAAAGAATAAAAACATTTTTGCGAAGTTCTATGAATGAGGAAAGCAATGCTATCTATCGACAAAAAATGTATAGCGGGTATTCCAAACTTTAGCAAGGCTGTTATTGATAAATTTTCTGCAAATAAAAACAGGAGAATGGACTTTACGTTTAAACATTGTACTCATTCTTGTGTATAATAAAAAAAATAACAAAAAATGTGTCCTTGATGCTTGTTTTAGTACTCTTATTGCCTTCTACGTCACGCATAAGAAAACAATTATTTCATACCACTTGTGAACCCCCTGTATCATAGACCACGAGCCGCCGCTGCTTTGAACGACGTCAATAATTAAAGCTGTATTGCAAAACTTCTACAGTACCCTTTGTATATTTTCAAACAGTGTGTAACAAATTATAAATGCGCCACGGGTGTATTTGTTCGACGTTATACGAGTGCTAAGTACGCAGCGTTGGCATTGCGCTAGCTGTGGACATGGCGTTTGGAGAATAGGTTGACACTGGCTTGTGATCACGGCCGCCGCATTAAGCTCCCAAATCGCGATCGATCTATCATGCCAAATTTATCGCAAACATAACCAAAAACTATTCATATGTATATATAGATATATAGATCACCGAATCATTGTACGCATTGGAGAGCATCTAAATTGGAATGGATAGTTCTTTAGAAATAGAGCACCAGAAAGCACTAAAATGGCCGTTTAGCGTTCGTATAACTTGTCAGAATTTATCCTCGTTCCGCAGGTATCAAGTTATTACAATGGTTTTGAAAATACAGTGTTTCAATTTCCACGTTCATTGATGTTTTTTATAAAATTTATTTCAGCGTCTACGTCTTCACTCGCTAATGAAATGAATAGACTTGATTTTGGTGCGGGTAAGTACTTGGAAATATATTTTGGATTTGTGTATTTAGTACTGTAAGAAGAAGTTCAACAGGGCCTTCAAACATGTCGCATACCAACCCTCAGATCAACTTGTGATATAGCAGCTCCAACTTTTTACTCTGGAAGTAAACCAATTGTCATAGCCTGACGTTCAATCGTCTATCTTTCATAGTCCGGTGTTTGAGGTTCGCTCATATTATTTTAGACCAGCTCTAAGATAACCATCAGTTACTTATGACACGACACATTATCGTCAAAGTCTCAGATACCTGAAAACTTTAGTACCCTAGATGACTATTACAGTACAATCTTTGGTATAAACCGCCGCATTCAACGCTCTTAGTGTATCGAAAATGTAAAAATCTACCAAAAACCCAAGCGTACATCCACTTTCTATGGATGACCGAGTTCCACCAAGAAGTTATTGGTTTCGGCTTATCGGAGTTCAGATTATTGAGGACCTGATTTGGAAAGAAGTTATAATATTTGTTAGGGCTAGGAACTACTTTTCTCCAAATAATCTCTTCATATTATGCAAGGCTCAGATAAGATCCAGTCTGGAGTACTGCTGATACGTCTGACTGACTGGTGAGACTTTCCTAAGTCATAGTCTCTGTTCTACGGGCATGCATCTCTCACAGTTTTAGCAGTTTTTTTCAACGATTTTCATTATTTTGATATTGAGTTCGTATCGTCGAATGTATGAATGACGTATGCGAGGTTTGTAAATTAAGTGATGAGACTTGCGTTCATTTCATTTCATTTGTCTTTTGCTGCTGAATACGCTTGCTTGCTTACACAGGTCAAAATAAAAGTTAGAATACAAAGGTGTAAGTTCACCTAACAATGAAATTTGTTGTAAACAACAACGTTAACATAAAGTTGTCAAAAACAACATTAACAGAAAAATGTAAAAGATTATGAATTGAAAATACATACATATCTATAGAACAATCACATCCGAACAAATTAACAGAGTAAATGTAAACAGGCTCAGTACAAGACCATTATAATAGACCCGAAAACTTATTACTTAAAAATTCTTCGATGGTATAAAAACCTGTGCTTATAAGGTAAGCTTTAATTCCATACCTAAATAAGCCGAGGCCAGACATTCTGAATGCCTCAGGAAGTACATTGTAAAAGTGGATTCCATAGTAGTTAGAACCGTTTCTAGTTCATTGTAGAAGATGCTTAGGAATATCTAACTTATGCATGTTACATGTATTGTAACTTTGTACATCACTGTGCGTTTTGTATAGATCCAAATTGTTGTGTAATCAGATGAATATATATGTATATAGAGATAGAAGAGTAAGGATATTTAGGTTGATGAATCCTTCCCTACATGGCTGCATATAAACCAGACTTGCGATGACTCTTATACAGCGCCTTTGTAGTGTAAATACTTTAGGCATATGGACAGAGCGACCCCAGTTCAAGAGTGCATATGACATTCTTGAGTGGAACTATCTATAATAATGTGGTCAGCAACGTATCACCAGACCCAGAGCTTTCTAGAGTCCTAATTAAATAAATGGTCTTGGATAGTTCGCTGAGAATACTCTTTACATGTTTCTTGAAAGTCATATGTGTTTCAATACTGAAACCCAAAAATTTTACAGTGTCTGTGGTATTGACGTTATTACCATAGATTGCGTTTTTGAAGCATTATCAGTTTATTTGCTAAACCCCAATTTTCTAAATTTATTATGTATGCAATATTCGCAGAGAAGAGTAGATCAATCGATTTGCTACTACAGAGAATTGTTGTGTCATCGGCAAACAGTATAAGATTTTTGTTTGTTTTTGTTTTCGTTCTGACATCAGTGACAAGCTTGAATCGCTCGAGTCATTTGGTTGCCCGTAGCGATTTTTTTTTGTGAAACAGTTTTTCCTTTTGTTTTCTAAAAATGAATTATCATTTTCGAACAACGGCGTGCTATCAGGTTTTGCCTCAGACTTCGATTTAAGATGAACCACGAAGCGAAAGGCCTTTGTCCTCAAGAACCGATGAACATATCGACAGAATCTGGGATATTGTGTATTCAGATCGTCGGTTGACAGTCAGAAAGATCTGAGAAGAGAAATTTAACTCGCACCACGCTTCATTAGATCTAGAACAATTGGGTGTTGCATCACTATAAAGCTCGTTGCCGCACAGCAATGTCAATAAACGAGTTTTTTGCCAGTAAGAACATTCCTGTGGCTCCTCAGCCTCCTTATTCGCCTGACTTGAGTCCTTGTGACTTTTTTCTCTTCCCAAAGTTGAAAAATCCCCTCAAGGGAACTCATTTTGGGACAGTGGCAATCATTCAACAGGCTGTAACCGACCAGCTGATGGCAATTCCAGTATCGTAGTTCCAGCACTACTAAGAGGAGTGGAAGAGCCGTCTCCTGCGTTGGTGGCTTCAGAAGTTGTTTTGAGGGTGGCAATATAAAATTGTAATTGTAATTATACATAGTCGTGCCATAAGTTCTGTCCCATGATAATCTCATGATAAAAATGAAACAAGATAAGATATATTTATATGAAAGATATTATTTATTCGACAACATTTTTAGAATTCATAATCAAACAGTTTTATTCAAAATGTCCCCCCTTGGCCTTCACACACTGCTTCAATCTCGCGGGCCACTCATCTATCACTGCACGCACAGCTTCCAAAGGAATAGCTGCCGCTGATCGGATCAAATCCGCTTTCAGGGACTCGATATTACGGTGGGCTTTGGAGCAGGCCAACTGCTCTAGCAGGTCCCATAACTTGTAGTCTAAAGGATTGAGGTCCGGGCTCCCTGAGGGCCAATCTTCCGCAGCAATGAACTCTGGCACATTGCTTTCCAGCCAGCGCTGCGTACTCTTAGCCTTGTGAGCGGGGGCGGAATCCTGCTGGTAGACCCAGTGTTGGTTGGCAAACAATGTACCACTTAAAGGCTTGACGATAGGATCCAGTATGTCGCTCTGATAGTTTGCCGCTTTTGTTTTCACGCCCTGTTTACAGAAATGGAGCTGAGTGACCCCTTCGTAGGACACCCCCCACCAAACCATGACTGACGCAGGGTGGTGGCCTCTCTCAACTCTCGGAATGATCTCCGAAGCTTCCTGTGAACTCCTTGCATACACTTTGTCATTTTGTCGGTTGAATTTTTCTTCTATGGTGAAGATTTTCTCATCCGTGAACAAAATCTTTCGGAATCCCCCAGCTGCGTACCTCTCCAAGAGCTTCTTGGATCTTGTCGCCCTGATGTGTCGCAAGGTGGCCGTAAGTCGCTGGCCCGTACGTCTCCGGTAAGCCCCTAGCCCTAGGTCTTGTTTAATGATGCGCGACATCGTCCGGACAGGAATCTTCATTTCCCTGGATAGGATCTTCTGCTTCCGGAGTGGATTCCTTTGAATCCTGGCTTTTACGGCTTTGATGGCTGCTGGAGTCCTTACTTGACGAGGTCTTCCGCTTCTTGGCCTGTCATCAACAGAGGACGTCTCATTGTACCGCTGAATGGTCCTAGACACAAATTTACGCGATATTTGAAGGCCGCGTAAGAGTTCAAAAATCTGACTAGCACTGTGATTACACTTATGTAAAGCTATCACTGCAATACGGTTCTCTGCCTTGCCCCACTCCATCGTTATGCTTCGAGAGATCAATACAAACTGAGGTATATGTAATTACCCGAAAAGCGCTTAATCAACTGACACCACAATGTAAACAATCGGACAAGTATTAACAGGTCTACACTTGTTTGAAAACGAGGGACAGAACTTATGGCACGACTACGTATAAGCGTAACTTTTCATTTCCAAAGATTATTGGTAACTACATTTAATGACCACAATATATCAAAGTCGGCTCCAGTTTGCTTTGTTGCAGCCATAGAACTTTTGTCGTAACACTTTTTTCAAAATTGACTCGGCAAATATACTATTTAATGATGAGTCTTATGTCTTCAGGTGGACCGAGCTTTAGCATGAACCGCAATGAATTTCCATCATTAGGGGGAAGCGTACCAGGCTCCATGGCGCGAGGCCGTAGACCAAAAGGTCAATCAAGCAACTCACAAACTAGTCAGGAATAATGAAACATTAAACACTGAGATAACTTCACTAAAACTGTTCGTAATGTCCGTTTCCACTAACTTATATCTAGATTACCTAAAATAAGTGTAATGTTTGAAGATATTACTTGAACAGCTTCAAAAAACGTTGCCAATGCAGTCGGTACGTTAGTAAACTAAAGTAATATCTAACATATATTTTTTCATACTCATAAATCATGTAAACGACCAACCCAAGTAACGTTAATTTTATTGAAATGATGAAAGCACATAAGAAATTATTACTTCATTAAAATGATTTTTGTTAAATGCATAATCATTGTTTTTAATATCAGCTTCTTGTTTTGACGAACAACGTCCTAGTTTTGTTAACCCAATATTTGCATTGCTTCCATTGTTACAGTTTGACTAAAGTTACCTAAGTAGTGGAGCGCCGGGGTTTTGGCCTCGGGATAAAGTTAACAATAAAGGATACTTTGACTGCTTTAGGAACTCGACCAAAGCGTTATGCTGCAATACTTGAGTGAGAAAGACTGTTGATTTTACAATATAATCTGATGTTCGTGTACTTAATGTTCATGTATGCGCCAAAATCTTGTCATCTTAAAATGCATATGCAATAATTGCTGGATTCTATATCCTAGCTACCTTTTCACTTCTCTAAGTTATTGGATTATTATGATTCCATCACATTCATGCCATTAGTGTCAATTAACATTAATCATTTCGACAGAATACAGTTTTGGATGCCAATGATAAGTATAGCTTTATGATAAGTAACAGCAATAATTGATTTAAACTCTTTTAGATTGGACACAATTCGCGACAGTGACGCCGGACTTCTGAGGTGGAATCTAATAATATTCCTCAAAATCCAACTTAAGGGCAAAATGCTTTCGGCCTGACAAGACTGATATTCAGTAAAAAATGATTTCATTTTTGAATCCAATACACTTGATCCAGCGCAGCTTCTTCATTGGACCCAAACCGCTTTCCACAAGGAGGGTACCAAATCAAGAAAATAGGGGGGATGATGAAGCAAATCATACCCAAATTCTGCAGTTTTCCATGGTTAACACCTTTGCAAGCAGTTGCATTGTCCTGTTGAAAAATGATCTTTTTCTTTTTCAATTCAGGTAGTAACAGAATCCCTTTCCCAAAACACAATGAAAGCCATGCAAGATATTCACAAAATCGTGTTGACCAGTTACTCGAGAGAACAAGTGGACACTTGCCATATAGACAAATGATATCTGTACCCATGGAAGAATTATAAATTTCCGGTGATTGGAGCGTCAAGTCTGTGTCAGGCCGAGCACTTTTCACCTTACCTTCGAAAGTTCACAAAATGTCAATAACTACGAGTATACTCGGTGGTACATGGAATTCCGGACTAATCTAGATGTGTTAATAATAAGTTGTAGTCACAATTTCAATTTGTGTTGTTTTTTAAATTCAGACATTCGTTTTTTTTTCTGTTACGCTTATACGTTATGTCCTTCACTGATTGCGTTGATCAGTTATCGTAGATGTTCCGAGAAAACAAAGTTCCAATCATAATTTGTCATATTCAGAAATTTTAAGGTTCGCGCATATCAATAATTGATATATAGTAGGTATGACAAAAGTTAGATTTTTGGAGGAAGTGTTGCAAACCTGTCTGTCTTATGCTAATGATACATAAAATGACATTTAAAATGAAAATATTTTCACACCTTGAAGGCTTCGGGAATGAAACATAGCGCAAAAATTATCTTTGCCCTTGACTGTTCCCAGTTGCATTTAAATATTACGAATACATGTTGCTAAGGATAAGTAATATTTCAACCAAGTGTTGATATTTATTTTTACTATAATTGAAAAACTACGAGTTGACCTTTCATCTTTTTGGATATTTAATTTTAGTGTTTGTATTTTAAAGTGAGAAGTAGCTTTGTCTTTCACACCAAAGTGTTTTATACCCCTCCATCGATGAGTTGAAAGTTATATTATCTTATGAATCGGATAAAACGTGTTTCAAGAGAAACATTTGTTTTTTGAATACCTGCTATATATCAGCTAGTTTTTCACCTACTTGAGATTCGAGAAAACTGCATTTCTCTTTATATGTATAAGTATTCTCATTACTATGTATATGTAAGTTAATTTTCAAGTTGCTTTCATTTTTAATTTTCATTTCTCTTGATGGTCTGTAAAAAGAGACAATTTAGTGAGACGTGTACGTCGTGATACTGTGTATTTCAAGGAAAAATCGTTAATTTTAATTTTTAAGTCATTTGACATAGGTATGACATATAAGTTGTTCTGTAAAGAAACTTGTATTTTTTGTAAATGTTTTTTGAAAACAAATATAAACTATAAACGTTTTAGTAATTGTTTTCTTAGGAGCTATAAAAATATCAGTGATCATAAGGTTAGCTGAGATGAATGTAGGACGGAATCGATGTTTTAAACAGCATGTTCAACAATGTAGGTATGACAATATTTTCTACTTGGCCAACGATGGCCTACCAAAGTTAAGCTTTCCCGCTTATTTCAAGGGTGATTTGGTTATGATATTTGAATCACAAAAATTTTTATAATGACTTGTCTTACCTCTAATCTCCAGGAAACAGGGAATACATTCTTCTTGCTTGACTCTCGAGTTTTCGTCGCTTCTTCTACTCGTATAGTTGCATCCAACAATTATCGAACTTTTTATATAATTTTTGAAACTGCGATATTGATTTTTGTTAGACTCGTTAGTCGGCAGTATTACTATAACTTATTTCAGCTGCATTTTTAACTAAACGTATCTGAATTAGGTATATCAATTTTCTGAAGATTGGATTTTTCAGTGAAAATAATGTTCTCATGAGGATGGAAGGGTAATAATAACGGTATTACGATTGTAACTTTTAATAATAAATAATAACAATAATCACGATATACATTCTGGTGCTACCACTGAATTCTTATGTAATATCTCGCAAACGGTTGCCTTGAAACTCAGTAAACTTTTATCTTGAAGATAGGATGAAAATTGCTGAAAATAAAAAATAGCTTTATCAGTTCTCATGGAAAGCAAATAAAAATTCTCAAACTTAGTTACAATGGTGATACTCATACTCAACACATAGAATATGCATCGCTCCTCTTACTTGCGGTAGCTGGATACACTCTACTTGTTCTAAATTCACCGCATCCGAAAAGATGATTTTTAATAGACGTTTCATTTTTTAAGTGTATTGGTTGTTATTCTGGCAACTCTTAGACAGGTTAGTCCGAGATTCCAGGGCTGTATTGGTATAGCGTTTATATGTACTTTGACCGCATACATACCTACCAAGTTGGGTAGAAGGTGAGAAAGGTTATAAATAAAACCAAACTTGACAAATTTGGATGACTAGTTTTTAGACACTGAAAACCAAATTTGTGTGACGGCTTGAGTTCACTGTGTACGAGAGAGAAGTGAGTATAGGCACATATGCTAGAAAGAGATAGACGAATACTCAGGATGTCTTGATTTTAACACCATCAGTGGAAATAAAAGATAATTCTAAAAGGAATTAAAACATTAAGTTGTATTAAACTTCAAATAAATAAATAATTATAATCAAAATGAAAACAAAATATTAAATTAAATGTTCGAACAGACCTCCTTCTTGGGTTTGACAGTAACCTAACCTACTGTAGAAGCCTGTGCGAACATTTTCTGGTGTAATATATTGACAATGCGGCAGATTGCACGACCTCCTGCGTCACCCTTGCAAGACAATTTGGTGATGACCTTTGCTAACCAGCCGGCTTCTATCTCTTTCTAACATACACACTTATCGAGCCTCTCTCTCGTACGCATTAAACTCAAGTCGTCAGACAAATTTGATTTTCCCTGTATATACTTTGTGAAAAATTGTTACAAAGCAATATCTGGCACTGCCAGACATTTCCCGCCGGTCATAATTTATAACTTCTGTCAGACGCTTCAAACAAGGTGTCTTGCTATAACTACTAACTTTTTTGTATCATTGTTTAGAAAAATTGTTAATACAAAAGTTTAAAAATTATTCATGCAATATTTTTCTGGTACAACTAGAGAATCGGTGGTATAGAATAAGGTATCCCGTTTTAAAAATATAACTTCCTCCGATTGAACTCGTGTGAGGCTTCCTGTATACAAGAAAAAAACTTTATATTAGGCTCTATAATTTTTATATGAAACTTTTTTCTGAATCGTCATACAAACAAGTTAGAGAGGTCAATTCATAGTTGGGACACTCTGTTTAAAGCGTCTGGCAGCAGTTATGGCAGGCGGGAAGTGTATGGCATTACTTTAGGATAATGTTGTCTTTCAGAAAATAAGTAATCTCTGGCAGCCATTGGATTTTACTCTGAAATCTCGAGAGAGTATTTTTTCCATCGATGCCTCGGTTTTCGCCCACAGGGGACAGTTTTTGACTACAGAAGCACGGCCGCACAGGTCCGGAAAAAATGCAGTTGATATTTTTTCAAGAGATAAACTCTTGAGCTATTCCAAATTTGAACGTGTGCAGGCACCCTAATACATACCTTATTGTAGACAATTGTTGGCACAAAAGTTATGCTGTAATTCTTCGTAATTTTCTCCATCTGCAATTGTAACAGATTTGCTTCGTCGGAAAGACTGCATACTAACACATCGTTTATATCGATACCGGCATCTTTAGTACACTGAAATGAATGATGTTACAGAAATACAAATAATATAGTGGCTGTAATGCTACTCATTTCTGTTGGTCTGTGTCGGGTTGTCAGTGACTGAACCGTCTGTTTTTGCTGCTAACCGCGTAATCGTAGAAACGGCTACAACTATTTAATTATGTTGTAAAATAAAGGAATTTAAATCGTTTCAAACATAGTTGACTTGATTTTTTTAACATAGTCAAGTTTTTGGATGATCATCATTTTGGAAAGTTTTCAAAATTAGCTTTTTACCCCCTATTTCAAGTTTCTGATCACTGGTCAGGGAACTGACAAGTAGATTTGGTAAAGTTACTTAAAAATGATATTCAAAGGATCTTCAATTCGTGTTTGTAATTTTGTGCGCAAATTATTTTGGTATATGAGCTATACATACGCTTAAGTATAAGTTACCTTAGTGAAATCGTCCGACTGGTTCATATAGTGCTTGATATAGTAGCTAAACATGAAGCAGTACGTGAATTGTACTTTGGCATTTTGGTCAGCCAATCTATTCAAAGCGCATGATATTATTTTATTGCCAGTGCATTCTCTTGGACCATGTTGGCATTGAAAGTCTATGCTCGTGCCATTGTTGTAGCTCTGAAAACAAAATACGTTGATTGTTTCATATTATTTTACTAATCCTCAAAAGATTTCTAAAAATTGAAGAGCCTCTGTTCTTTTTTGTAAGTGATTGAGAAAAGTATAGGTTGGTTATATACCTACCCGATTATAATCGGGAAATTACGATCAATGTATTTGTGCGATTACGAATATTTCTTGAATGCCGTGCTTATTTCAAAATGCTTACGTTCCTGTTTATGAACTAGAAAATGTGTTGCTTCAGGTTTTGGATTTGGAATATTTCTTACTGATTGACAATTACTTAGTCAAGAAGGTTGTAGATAAAGCGAGATGTCTGCTTGGTTCTCAGCTGTTCTATTTTAAAAAAAACCGGACAACTTCAGTCGTAACTATATTTTTTAATTATCTTAATACATAACAAAATAACCGAGGATGTATAAAAAAACTAAACAAAGCAAAATATTAGTGAAAACGTGTGACGATATTTTAACTTAATGTTATAGTTTTTCTACTCCCCATCTCTTTTCAATCTGACTATGCCAAAATCTATCGTAAACCAATACTTACAGTGCGCTTTAACTGATACAATATATATACAAGGCATTTTAAAATAACACAACTGCCTGTTTTAAAAGATCACCAGAAACCTGGTAATGCAAACTGGTAGAATAGTGCTCTCCAAATGAGTCGTTAGCTTATGGTCTAAGGTATTATGTAAGGCAATTGTAGGGATTTTATTGTTTCTCACTCGTTACAAATCTATTAAGAATTTTACAGTTAAAACATTCTAAATAATCCTTTTTTTGTTTTGCCGACAAAGGTTAATTAATATCGGCGTTTAATGTATCATTGGCATACTTATACTAGCATTGTTAACACATATCATTTGTGCAACTGTATAGTGACTAAGTACCTACACTTCACTAACTGGTTATATCCAGTTCCAACAAAGTGTATACAAATGGTCCTATTCAAACTTACTAAATTGACAATAGCAGATACTCAAGATCCCTAAGTACACTTGAAATCTGAATTCTACGATTTTACAGGAAATGTATACTTTAAATTTGTACGAAAGTCATGAGTAATGAGCGGAAATGTACATACGTTATTGTTATATGGATCCCACTTCATGAAATGTACTAAGTGCCGGATAATAATTAAACTAAATAATTTTGATAAAAACTTATTTTTGCTATCATGGAAGTATATGCTGATAAAATGTTTGTGTTTTTTGTCATGTCAGGATCCGAAAAATATGAACGTGTTTACTTGATATTTAGTTATTTTTCTGTATTGGTTCCATTTGTTTCATTGTTGTTTCATTGCATTATCATGCCTAGAGTTCGCAGACGAGCTAATTTTACTCAACTTTCCGAGTTTGAGAGGCGTCGGATAATCGGGTTGCGTGAAGCCAGATTTTCGGTTAGAGAAATCGCTAATCCAGTGAATCGAAACGAAGCTACTATAATGAGATGTTGTCGAGCGTGGATCCAAGAATGCCGAAATCGACGAGTCAGAGGTACTGGACGTCAAAGACAGACTACAAAGCGAAAAGATCGTTATTTGAGGCAACTAGCATTAAGGCCCGTATCGTCAGTCGTTTCTACAATTTATTGTAGGACGCCTTTATAGCCTTTAATGTCATATTTTTATACTTTTCCGTGTCAGCGCTTTATTTTGAGGTTAATGTCACAAATATCTATTTGCATCAAATTTTGCATGCTTTTGATTTATATCATGTTTTATCAGCCTGAAATTTCCTACAATTTAAAAAGAAAACATATCATCACAATAGGACAGCGCTGACGCTGACACAGAACAGGTGCAATCTAGAAGATTTTGAAGGAGAGAAAGGAGTATGACAATCAAGGAGGACATAAAGGCGTCCTACAATTGTAGGAACGACCCTTAGAGACCGATTTTCCACATCAAGGGCAGTTACGAACCAGTGGTTTGATGTCGGAACGGCAATAACGATGAGGACAGTTTATCTCCGAATAAGGTCTTTTTTACTATTTTCATACCGTCCCCACATGGTACTACCTCTGACCTCACAGCATCGTCGGCAACGATTGGTATGGAGTAGGGAGAGACTTGAGTGGAATATGGAATGGAATTCAGTCGTGTTCAGCGATGAGTTTAGATTCTGTTTGGGCACGCACGATGGCCGTACAAGAGTAAGGAGGACACGTGGTGAAAGAGGAAACGTCCAATATTCCATCGAACTGTATCTTCATTGCTTTGTGGGTGTTGCGGTATGGGGCGGCATTGCTTACGGCAGCAGGTCACGATTAGTATTCATTCGAGGCAGCACGACATCCCAGCGCTATATCCACGAAGTTTTACAACCAGATCTGCTCCCCTTTTTGGAAACATTGCAGAATCCACTCTTTCAGCAGGAAAATGCACGACATCATGTCGAATGTGTTAGTTTAGACTAGTGTCCGTGACCGTAGTAAATCTGCTTCAGTGATCTCCTCAATCTCCAGACCTTGAAGGTTGCAAAATTCACCGCACCCTCCACAAACATTGGAGGCTCTACGAAACCAAATTCACTTAACCAATCTGTAGCGAACAGAGGAGCTTCAACATTAAGGTGGGATAAGGATATCTTAGCTATTTTGAGAAATTTCGAGTTAAAACTTTAATCACTTTCTATGTATCAGTAGACCAAAAGCTTGTAAACGTATGCTCATAATTACAGCACTCCTAGTCAGTGTTACATTTTCTATGTCATTTAGTATATTTCAACAACTACGAACAATAAGTATATTGTTAATATTAAAAAATGAGTGACTTACATTACTTTTCCCGAATGGTATGATACTCAAATCTAAGTATTTTGCCAGTGCTGGAAAGCTTTGCGAAAGGTCTTTCATAAACCTGAAAGTATCGGGACATAAAGACTCGATCATTACTTCCACTCCAAGCTGAAAAGAGAATGTTTTAGTTAGTCCTCACGCGAGCACAGACTTAATAACGTACGCTTACCAAGAAATTTGAAAAACGTAATATGAAAGCAGATACGGTTAACTGTAGTAATTAGAGAACTAGTGAGGTGACAAACTTAAGAATAGTCTGAGGTTTTTTTGCGCCGTATACCATCCTGTGGAGAAAATGTATAGGTGTTTCATGGACCGTTTTCAATATTTTAAAAAGCTTTTATGATTCAGAATCGTACCACTATTTATTAAGAAAAACCTTAAATTTGTGTGCTTAATTTTCAAGTTTGAATAACATAGTACAAGAATGCCATCTATATTACCAGGATCGACCACTGTGAGAGAAAAAACAGGAACATTTGACAGCCGAGTGACCACTGAAACCCCTAGATGCCGCCGATTCTGGTAGTATAGTAGATACCGTCTACTCGCTGTTGAACAACCTAGTAAAATAGCTTTCATTCGTTAGACCACAGATACCCAACCATGGACAGCTGTTTCATGCTATTTGTCAAATAAAACATTTTAAGTTTGAGTTAGCATGACCTAATTTTGGATGCTTGTTGATTACTATTATCGGTATCATTGCCCTGGATTTACTTAGTAACTGCTGTATCGATTTTGATCAAATTTGGAGAGAAATATGTTGTGTATTCTCGCTAAATTAGTATTTTTCTACGTATCTCTGACACTTTTTGAACACCATAACATAAGATTATCCAAATGATTTGAGAGAAAAAAACTCCCGATACACATCAAAATGTGTAGTAAGATCCTGGATGAAGACAATACGGATATACCAAATTGCTTTTTTTACGAGTAAAATATTTGCCATCTAGTGAATTCAGAATTGTTATTTATAATTTTAAAAGAATTCATTGTGTGAATTTTAATTGTTATAATAATGCAATAGTTTATTATTCGTGTTTTGTACATGCACATAAATTAATGTTACAGGATTCTGATGATTATCTTCCACGGTCAACATAATAGTGAGTTTATGAATGCTTCGAAGATGTCACAATTTTGGCTGTCACAACAGTAATTCAGTTTGAGATTTAATCAATCACAGTATCTGGTGAATTATATTACTTAAGCACCAAGCATTCACAACTGTTCTGTACCGAGAATTTGCTATCAGTTGAGCCATCTAACAGAAGGATTGATAGTGTACGTATTTGGACGAGTGTGAGTGACACCTGTCAAATTTGGTTCAATATCGAAAGTATTTCCCAGAATTGTTTTTTGACAGGTCATAAATTAGTGGCGAGAGGATGCAGTCATGCTGAGCTACTTTCCTGTGACCCTGTTCATTGTTTGTGGAGCAGTTCGGGAGCGTATCACTCTCAAACCAAAAACCACTGCAAAGCAGCTCAAGTAAATCTTTATTTGACGTTAGTAGAAAACGTCATATCTTTTGGCTTCGGTAAAGTTAGATGACGGTTAACGTTAAACGCATAGTTTACATACAGAGTGTTTCAAATGCGACCCTCACATTGAGGATATCGGAAACTGTAAGAGATACGCAGTCACTTAGATGGGGCCAAAGTTGAGAATTTAGGTAATCAACCGCTTAGAAAGAAACGAATGTCTGATAATTTCAACGCCTACTAGGAAATTCTGATTTTTTATTTAAATATCTAACGTTTGGCAATGTCAATGTATGACGTATTATATATACTTGGAATCAGAATAAAAAACTCTATTTATCTGTCCGAAAATCCAATATGGCGTACATAAGAAAACATAAAGTTGATGCTGGAGGACAAGACATATTGAAATTCTAACTATGCCATCTTGTATAGGAGAAAAAGTCAGGGCGAATTAAAACGATTTTAGCAAAATTCGTTTTTTTCCGTAATTGAATTTCGAAACTTGATTACCTAAATACGCAACTTTGTCCCCATCTAAGCGGCTTCGTATCCCTTACAGTTTCCGAGATCTCAATGCTGATGGTAGAATTTGAAACACCCTGTATATTGCACCATTATGAGTGCATACCTCAACAGCATTCTTTTATTGCATCTACATTTCAATATAGTAAACTTTTCATCATGAAACTGGTATTACTAAGCCTCATAATAAACGTTTTCATAAAAGCGGACTCAAGTTTTTAATGCGAAATTAATCTTGGTGTCAGTGTCGTTTTGGGAATCGATAAATAACGAATAACTTATAACAGTATTTTTAGCAAAACGTTATTTAAACAACTGACTGTTTTGTATACCCAACTACTGTATACCTAAGTGTAAGGAGTCATAACTATTTTTTTAAACAAAATAAAAAAGTATTATTTTCTTTTGAATATTATATTCACTTACCTTTACATTTTGTGTAGTTCCAGCGTCAATGCAGACGGCCAGTAACAGAACCGAGGCAAGTTTAAACATTGTATTGTGATGTTAGCCGTGTTTGTCGTCTCACTACTAACGGCGACGCCGCTCGCGAATACTAATGAACAGGTAGACGGCAGATGGTGACCTTATATGACTTTCACTTTCTGATATCGCAGCCGTTTGCGATGATCCCACCCATCCCATTTGAGATATCCATATACCACATGAATGGTATAGCGTATAGCAGAATAACACAGAATTAAAAAAAATGGTGTGTGGTTTTGATTGCACTATATTTTTCCCATCTATTTTTTCCTGCGGAACACAAATCTGGAGTCAGAACTGGGCGTCGCTGGACAAATATGGAAGCAATGTTGGCGTTAATATCACAGAGATATCTGAGAGATACATATCCACCACAAATGCCAAAAGTAATTCTGATGTCTGAATCGCTTTCATATTTGCCTATCGATCTCCAATTTTGACTTCAGACTCGTGTTCAGCGAAAAAAAAGTACATGGGTAGAATATAGTGGGAGCCCTAGCTCACACCACTTTTTTATTTTGTGAACCTGTGTAATCTATCTCGCAAAAAATATCACACGGGCAGAGTCGAGTGAATAATTAGATCTTTTGCCAAACATTATTCAGCTTTTTACTACCTAGGTCACTTGGTGAGGAATTATTGTAATCGTGAAAAATTTCGAAAATGAGACATTATATTTTTTGGATTTTACATGGCATGTACATCACAAAAAAATGTGTCACTTATTTCCATTGATCGCTGTTTTTTCGGTCTGTCCGGTAATCCTTGGCCCCTCTATAACTTGGTACTGCTTCGGATTTGAATGCAATTCTTACATAAGGTCACTACTAAGCCAAGGACGAACAAACTTTGTAGTTTTTTAAAATTTGTCCAATGGCGGCGGAGGAAAATGCCAGAAATGAAAAAAGGTTTGATCATTTTTGGAAAAAAATTAGGGGGTGGGCGGTTGTAGGGAGTGGAGGAGGATATATCTCAATTATTTGATAATACTATATTTATGCGCGTGGTATTCATTCCTAAATCGGGCAGAGCTAGATATACTGGTCCGAAAGATTTTCGACCGATTAGTCTTTCATCTTTTGTGATTAAGACACTGGAAAGGATACTTGATAGATACTTAAGGGATGGCCCGCTGGGAAGGTAGGTGTGTCATTCATGCAAATCAGTTTGCATACCAAGCTGGAAAATCGACTGATCTGGCCTTACACAATCTGGTCGGTAGGCTGGAGAAGACTCTAGATCAGCGAGAAGTGGCACTCGTGGCCTTCCTGGACATTGAAGGTGCATTTAATTGCACCACAACCGACTCTATCAGACATGCCTTGGTTAGACACGGGGTGGGATCAATCCTAATAGATTGGGTCCTATCTACTCTGGAGGGTCGGGTAACAACAGCTATGCTGAATGACGTAAGCTGCAGCGTGAGTGTAGCTAGAGGCTGCCCTCAGGGCGGAGTTCTGTCACCCGTACTGTGGTGTATCGTGGTGAACGAACTCCTCGTTAGGCTCAGCAGTATGGGTGTCTACGCGCAAGCCTATGCTGATGACGTAAGCATAGTAGTTAGGGGGCGTTTTTGTAGAACAGTCCAGGAAATTATGCAGGGCGCTCTGCGCTCCGTGGAATCGTGGTGTAGTGAAGTCGATCTTTCTGTTAATGCTGAAAAGACCGAGCTGATCCTATTCACTAGGAGAAGAAGGCTGGTCATGCCGACCTTCTTTGAGACTAGATTAGTTTTGTCCCAGTCAGTGAAATATCTGGGAATTATCCTGGACTGCAAACTGAACTGGAGGGAGCATGTGGAATACAAGGTTAGCAAGGCTCGCAATTCGATGTAGGCTTGTAGACGTGTTGTCGGCGTAAGGTGGGGGCTTAAACCCAAAGTGGTATACTGGCTCTACACGACGATAGTACGTCCATCTCTCTTGTACGGCTGCCTGATCTGGTGGCCTTGCATTAGAACTGAGACAATTAAGGCCAAACTCAATAAAATTCAGCGTTTGGCCTGTATTAGTATCACAAGCGCAGTGCAGACAACGCCATTGAGTGCAATGGAAAGCTCTGTTGGATCTCCCACCATTGGATCTGGTGATCCGCGGTGAAGCGAGAGTAGTCGCTCATCGACTGTGGAGTCAGGGTAGCTGGGATTTCTTGAATCCTGTCAAGGGGCATACTGCCATCTTAGTCGAATTACAAAGGGAGGACCCCGTCCTTCTAAGCAGGGGTGATCGTATTACCCCTAAATATCGCTTCAACCGCAAGTTTATTGTGGAGTATCCAACGAGGGAGGAGTGGGACGCCGGTAGCCGGGGACTCTCCGGAGTGAGCGGGCAGGTCTGGTACACGGACGGCTCAGTCACCGAAGAGGGCTCAGGTGCTGGGGTCTCTGGGCCTAGAACTAGGCTATTTCTGCCTCTCGGTGGATACACCACCATTTTCCAGGCGGAAATCTTTGCGATTCTGGCGTGTGTATCTCACACTCTGGAGGAGGGTGGGCCTAGAAGAAGAATAACAATCTCATCCGACAGCCAGGCTGCAATGAAAGCACTAAGTGCCTGTAAGATTACTTCGAGTCTTGTATTGCAATACAGGGAGGCTCTGGATTGCCTCGCAGCGAGGCACCCGTATCGTTAATATGGGTACCGGGGCACGCTGGGATAAGGGGCAATGAGACGGCGGACACTCTGGCGAAGACAGGATCAGCCAGCAAGCTCGGTGGTCCTGAGCCAGCTCTAGGAGTGACCGCGCATAAAGCTAGGAGGAAAATGGAGACGTGGGTTGCAAGACAACACTCTCAGAAATGGAGAAGTATCTCCAGACATCTCCGCCACGCACGAGAACTCATTGAAGGGCCCAGTGCTAAGAATGGACACTTCTACCTATCTCTGGATAGAGCCAACCTAAGGTTGCTGGTGGGATTGTTGTCTGGCCATAACACGTTAAGGCGTCACCTGCACGTGATGGGGGTGGCTGAGGATCCCTTGTGCGAACGCTGCGGAGTAGAGGAAGAGACCTCGGCGCACGTTTTGTGTCGCTGTGAAGCTCTGAGCTACTATAGGCAGACTATACTGGGGTCCATTACTTTGGACCCTCAGGACGTCAAGGAGCTTGGACTCGAGGCGATTCTCAACTTCGCTAAAAGGGCGAGGCTTGTGATCTAAGGATTGTAGAGGTGCACAAGGGCCCGCTTAAGCGGCCTATGCACTTGCTCCTTATGGTGGCCGGAATGCCTCTAATTTCAAGATTCATTCATTAATTCATTCATATTTATGCGCTCTCAACTTTGGTAGGCACCTATTTGCCGTATTTCAGACATAGGTTTCCCCTTAAATTTGTTCTGCTCATACTGGGGCGGCGCTTTGGTTGGCTCTGCCGCGTCTGACGATATTGGAAGGGACAACGTTACCAGATGAACGGTAACTACCGGTAGGGCATGGACTGATTGTATAGGTCTGTTTGACTGACTTGATCCGTTTAATTTCCTATTCATTTTTTGCATACGGTTTAACTTGTGCTGAACTCAATCATTTATGAACTTATGACGGTGTTGCGTAGGAACTGTAGAATGAACCTACTTGACGCCATTTTTTTCTTGACAAGTAGGTGCTTACAAGAGAAATGTGCTTCATTTATAGGCCTTGAGTTCTCGCCTGCTCATTGAGAATTTGTATACCTACCTTTTAGATCACCTTATGGAGTATGTTTATTTTTGATTTTTTTCACGATTTGAAGGCCTCGGAAAATTCTGATTGTGACCAACTATTTCTATCTGTCTTTACCTATAGACCATCAAATAGAACGCAGGTACTTTTCATATGATTTTAGGTCTTGCACAATGCGAAATTTTCGAGTTTGACATTAATACCCTTTTTTAGATGTTTTATATCTACATTAAAAGTAACCAAGGTCTCTATTTTCCGGCTGTGATTGTAAGTTCATCCGTACCAATGCCATATTTTTTTTGTTACCGCACAATATTACAAATAAACCAGTTTTAGTCAAAATTAGGAAACGATGTTAGACGGTTGATAGATTTTTGAAAATAAGTGTACTGGTATGGGAGTTAAACACTTTTTGAAATTCTATACTTGACTATATGAATGTCCTTTGAATATAGCCACTATACGTATGGGAGATTTTATACAGAGTACTTTTTATACTACCTAGAACCAATTTGATCTTTCATGATTTCCGGAAAACTTCGTTTCTAATATATTGGGCCAACAGAAGTTTCGTAAATGATATTTTTTATCAGCAAACGTCACATTTGATCTTCTCAGCAACCCAAATTAGAAAAACTTTCCAAAATGACTAGCCCTAGATAGAACAGAAAGAATTCCTATCCTGTTCTGCTGAACTGCACTAAATATGCAAGGGTCATTTCTTATAAATTATATCCAGCAGTATACTGTTTCTTCATTTTTTATATTTACCCCTGGACTACAGTAGTAGAGTATAAACTAAAAATTGGCCTCGTGGCGGGGGTCCTTTCGACCCGCACAACCGTCCCCGTATACTTCTTTTGAACTTACGAACAGCTTCGTAGTATTAGTGCTAAAAAACTCATTTGAAAAAGTTCTTTTCATCGTTTATCTGAGTTTTAGTTTTAAGGGAATTATGAACCTCATAATCAAACAGCAGCGTTGCTATTCATTCTTTATTTATGACAATCATGATATGTACAACATCATTTTCAAATTATTAACTAATATCTAGCAAATATCTATTTTGCATTTTGAGTATATCACACATTTAATATTATATTAACAATAAACTATGTACAGCACATTTTTAACATTACAGATCTAGAAAATGAAAACTTACCTCCTAAAACTTATGGAATAACAGGTAGAACCTGTTTTTTTTTTGTTTCTATATCACTTTAAAATATAGACTTTCAACATTGACTAGAAAATGTAGGAAGAATGGAAGATGATTACATTAGAAAGTTGTCTTTTCGTATTAAATCATATTTCATAAAATGGTCCAAAATTTTATTTCACTGAAAATGTTGCTAGAGTAGACTAGGAAACGCTTCTCACATTTGAGCTATACGGTTTGCTACACTTGAAAATTTTGTAGATGGGACTTGAAATCTTCCATATAACGTTCAATTCTATTAGTCGATTTATAAGGTTTGACATGGTTTCTCCTTTTTCTTGCTCCTACATTTGAGTCACAGTGAAATTCATTCAAGATAACTCTCATCAGTTTCGTTTTGAAACTACTAGCCTGCCCTTAAATATGTTTTTTGAATAGCTATTGAACGTCTTTAATCTTGGGTTTTCACCATTTTGTTTTCTGCTAACAAGAAGTAGGTGCATTTTTTATCGCGTCTGAGCTCTCTCTTGATTGTTAAGAGACATGGGTATATGTATCAAAAATTCAAGACAAACATTATTCAAAACTCAATGAGGTATCTCTGCAAGCGGTTGTAACGCTACAATGATAACCATTAATTTTCAGAATTAATAATTATGTCGTAGGCAATTACTGTCTGCGGTTTTTGTTGAAATATCTCTTTACCGTAATGAAGACAACCAAAAGGCTGGCTTTTGTTTATAGCGTGTAATCACTGTTTCTCTTTATAACAAAGTCAGGCTTTCAAAATCGTTGAACTGACAATGGTAATTAGATGCATTAAGAAACACGAAGATCCCAACAGCTTTGAGGCTATTCAGCAAGGAACATGCGATGCTTTTATTTTACTCCTCATCCCAACTTCTGGGGAATTATTGTAATCGCGAAAAAATCCGAAAATGATTTGATCTTATATCACAAAAAAACCGTGTCACTCATTTCCGTCGGTCTGTCTGTCCGCTATAACGTGGAAAGTATAGATTTTGATTGATTATGCTTAGCCTAGAACGAGAAGGGTTTGTAGTTCTTGAATATCGATCCAGTGGCGACAGAGCTACTGGCGAAAAACGAAAGAGTAAAAACCACTCAAACTTCGTTTTATAACATTTGGGAGGCTCCTAATAATTTCCCAGAAAATTTGTAGGCTTCAACAATTGAGGGCTTTAGGGGGGTAGGCGGAAGGTGTACCTCAATTATTTAACGTTAGTAGTATATTAATGCCCTTCCATTTACGGTCATTCTTTACACCTATTAAATATTATTCACGCATCATTCATTTCTACGTTCATTTGCCTAACATTAGAATGATGGAGAATTATTTTCAGTACACGTGGCATGCAACGCAACGAACTGGCTGGATGACTGGTGAGCTTATAATTGTTGCCAGACGGTCGGTGCTGACGGTAGGGCAGTGCAACGTTGTGAAATGGGTGGGCACTGTGGACTAATAACATGAGCCTGTTTGACTTGATCCATTTAACATTTTTGTTATGAATGTTGGAGCTCACTTTTCTCTCAGTCGAGCTGTTTTGCGCCAAAAATAATACTTTACGAACTGATGATACTTGGGAGGGGCAGTCAACCTACTTGATGCCATTTTTCACGTTTGTTCTAAAGAATGCATAAAAATAAATAAAGAAAGTAGTTTATTTTAGTAAAATATTGTCTTAAGGCGAAATCGGACCTGTGAGGTCTATAAATTAAGTACTGAGACTTATTTTTTCTAATTTTCTTATTCAAATATAAATACAATTTTATATTGTTGCCCTCAAAATGACTTCCCTCTGAAGTCACACAGCGCTGGAGATGGTCCTTCCACTCCTCATAGCAGTGCTGGAACACCGGTACTGGAATAGCCATCAGCTGGTCGGTTACAGCCGTTTGAATGTTTTCGACTGTTCCAGAATGAGTTCCCTTGAGGTGATTTTCAACTTCGGAAAGAGAAAAAAGTCACAAGGACTCAAGTCAGGTGAATAAGGAGGCTGTGAAGCCACATGTATGTTTTTAATGGCCAAAAACTCGTTTATTAACTTTGCTGCGTGACAAGGAGCATTATCGGGATGTAACACTTAGCTGTTCTTGATCTGATGAACCTTGGTGTGAGTCAAATTTAACACTTCCCCGATTATTCTGACTGTCAACCGACGATCTGAACCCACAACCCGGATTCTGTCGATATTTTTATCGGTTCTTGAAAATGAAAGTCTTCTGCTCCGTGGTTCATCTTCAACCGACTCTCTCCCTTCTGAAAATACCTTAAACCACCGAAAGCCTGGGCTCTTAACAAAATACTGTCTCCATAGGCTAGTTTAGCAAGAGTCTCATTTGCACTGTACAAAACCTGATAGCACACGGTTTCTTGAAAGTGATGTCACTCATTTTTAGAACACAATAGAAAAAACTGTTTCACAAAAGCAAATCGCTACGGGCAACCAAATGACTCGAGCGAGTTCAAACTTGTACTGAAGGCAGATCACAGGTCCCCCAGTCACCCCTCCAGTATTACCAGATCGAACGGTACGTTGCCAGTCTCATCACCTAATTTACAGACCTCGTACTATTGGTACCACGACACCCCTGTTATCTGTCATCACTTAAGTCATCGCTCTCATGGAATAGCTGTTATTTTTTTGTGTTGGTTTCATCGGTTCTATACTTGACCATAACTTCAAATATCTTGTCACTATAGCATTGATGCCACTGATTGATGATTCTATTTTGGTTTGAGGTAACTGTTTTTATAGGTGATTGCTAAATAAAATAACATTGTAGTGACTCTTCTACCATAATTCTCCAATAATGAATTCATTTTTCTAATTTTGTCAGTAATTACGAGCATTTTCCTCAAAAATAACATGTTGACAGTATTGCCCCGTTTATGCTTATGACAAATGACGAGCATAACTCCAAAAACAATATCGCTGATCATAGATAATTACGTTGATTGAAATTTTAGAGATCGGTACCTATAGGTACTAATCAGATAAAGTGAAAAAAACGTTAAATTCAAAATCCGTTTAAAGGAAAATCATGAAACGAGAAATAGTTTGATATTGCGCAAATATACGAGGGTTGGTCCATAAATAAGGTTCCCAAAGATCTCCAGCCACACTGGAAGGTGCGAGGCGAAATCCGACAACACCGCTGTGCGCGGCTGGTCACTCACTCTCGATTCCTCCGGTCGCGCTTTGAGGTTCTGCTCATTCTTTGCTCAGCAGCTGCCCGATATGGAGGTTCCCATTTTTGATTCCGCCAAGTCCGATCCGGTTCGGCTGACTAATGTATCTGCATTGCAGCGCAAAAAACATATAAACGGATCATGCTCGAAATGACTCGATGCTACGTTGCCAGATGAACAGTAACTACTGGTAAAGCAGGGAAATAATGTGTATGGACTAATTGTATGGGCCTGTTTGACTTAGTTAATCCGTTTAATTGCTCTGTGATATGTGTTCGCAACTGACTTCCCCCAGACGATTTAAATTGCGCTAAATTTAATCCGTCATGAACTAATGACGATGTTGCGCAGGATGTACAGAGTCATTTTACTTGACGTCATTTTTTCACGAATAGCTGATGTGGAGTCACGCAACATCACTGGACGCAAAATATACGATCACGGTTTCTTTAAAATAGGGTGCTTAATTGGATCGTTGTCGAAATCGAATTTATTGACATATCTGATCTGCAGCTCTAAGGAGGGCTAATTTTGATCAAAATCAAAGCAGCGTTTGGCTTGTAAGCTTACACCACTGGCCTAGCCTGATGGTTGGTTTAAAACGGGAAAAACGAGGAGAAGATTAGATAATGTTCACAGAGCTATATGTATACCTACACGCGTATAGCATGGTCTTTTTATGATACCAGTTCTAAGTAATGATGAAAACTAGATACTCTTATCTATGCAATGATGTAGGTGGAACATTCCACAATATCGAGGCGCGTTCGGTAATTTTGCAGCGCATCGTATTACATGACGCAAGTGTAATGCAAAATGCTCGCCACTCGCTAGGACTTGTCAACTCGCGTCGAAACACCTTCTGTGTGAACAACATGTATGCGCGTGTTTCAGCACTTTCACTGGGTGTGACGATGTAACGAGCGCCTGGGTGTACCAGCAGTTATAGTTCTTAACAATTCTTTTGAACACAGCCAGTTGGGAGTAAATGGCCCGTTTCGATACGCACATTCCGGAAAATGTGTACACCTTGACTGGACTATAATTAAGTCGGCTCCTTGAAGCGCCTGCGCACACTACACAGCCCCCATCCACCAGGCAGGCGTTATTTGCCCAGAGAGGTTTTAAAGGTATCAGGAAATGGAATTAATTCGCATACTGCAACGCTAACTGATTGAAACTGGAGAACAATAGTATTGCTGGGCAAAGGTGTCATACCTATTCATCGCTAGGTCAAAATTAAATTATCGGAAATTATTAATTAAGTCCGAATGGTTTTTTACCACCCTCTCGAACACCTCACAAAATATATCAACCTCACACAATAGCTATGTCACAGACTGAGATAGTGCATTTGCCTATACGATAGTGCAGGCATTGCCTTGAAACCGATTCTTCCCGCTAGACCCAAAGCCTGAGCAGCACTGTTGATGTTGGTTTTGTTGGTGGTGGTGATGGTGGCGTTTCAAGTTATGCTGACTGCGACTATTCGAGACATGGTTGGTGTTGGAGGTCTCCGCCTTGATTTTGCCGCAAAGATTGCCGTCGCTCTTCGACGATGTTACCGTATCTGGACTTCCTGCTGACTCCTAGATACATAAAATAGTCAAAGTTAGTTCATGATAAAAGTGGAACGAAGAGCTAAGTTGATAGTAAATAGTAGCAGGCATTTTAACACCCAAGAATTTCTGATGCATAAGCCACGATGGTCCCTAATGCAAGACCTGTCTATGTCGAGTATTGAGTTGAGTATGGGTTTAGGTCCCATCCAGTTACCTCTCTGAGGATCAAAAATATTGGACCCAGGATAGACTATCAACCTCATAGCGATGAGGTGCATCGAGGATTCGTCTTCTATGCCGTAGGATGCAGCAGGAGTCCCACTAGCTTGATTCTGTCAAGAGGTAGTCGGAATATTTTTTTTTTGATATCAAGTCCCACAATCATCTTCTACATCTGGTAGAGATATCCAGGGATATTACTCCACTTGCGCGGACATTCTAGATGGTTCCAAATCAATTCTCACAAATATTTATTATTATTATCCAGATCCTCCATACAATGCTCGATATTAACCTGCAGATACTCGGTGCCCTCATCGTCGCTGGTCAATTGGCAGCAGATGGTTATCTTGTCCTAGCCGCGTCCCAGTGCTGAATACGGCATACACAAGGGAGAATCGTATGGTGTACCAGTCAATATGCAAGGGGTGGAAGCCTTGCTCTGAGACCAGTATAGCAATACTCGCGTCACATACACCGCCTCAACAACCAAATATCAGCTGAAATTGAGGTGTGAATTGGCTGCCCGGAGCTGCGATTTGAATCCGTTTGACCGTTTTACAGAGACAATTCTGGCCTTGGAATACGGAATCGAAGAAGTATTATGGAAATACAAGCAATAACAATCGGAAAAGTAAATAAAATTCTATGGTGGTTCATTCTTGAATGTCAAGGTTCAATATTTCCTCTAAAACCAGAAATTCAAAAAGAATGTCCTTTTGTTTCTTTTTTATAGCCGATTCAAATGACAAATTGTAAATGATCCACCCTATATATTTCAACAGGTTAGCTTGGCTATTGAATGCTGATGACATCGCTATAGAAGTGAGCTTACAGAAAAATTATAATATGTAAAGAACGTTGATTTATCTTTGCTAAATATCACCTTACGGTTGTCCATTTTCTTGGCATACTCATGCATAGATTTGCCGAACTCGTATTGCTGTTTAGAAGGTGATTCTTGATCTGGTGCAGATGGTTTACTTGTCTTTGATTGCAGTTCTAAATCATCCGTTTGGGAAGCATTATTTACCATTGTACAGGATGTTGGTGTTACACTTGAAGGCCGTTCGATCGTCAGTGTTATCTAGAACGTGAAATGATTACAATATTCTTAGGTACCACTATCGTTAAACACTTTTAAATATGCTGAAACGTGACGAGGATCATTACATTTTACTTTCCACGCTAACCGGAGAGATAAAGTATTCTAATCGCAAAAAAATTAGAAAATGAGATATGTCTTTTGGATGATATATAGGTATGGATACACCACAAAAAACATGTTACTAATTTATGTAGGTCCGCCAGCTGATCCTTGGCCCCTTTATAAGTTGCAGGATCGCAGCTTACTTTTTTCTTCTTAGAAACGCTAATCTGTGCCGATCAAAATATTTTATGAACTATTGACGGCGACCTATCTGACACCATCTTTTAAATGTATTAATTTTTAGTAAGAATGGCAAATATTAAGACAATTTGTTTTCCAATCACTGTGGCTCGCCAAACTTGTGGAGATAAACTCTGGTGTGACGTTTATGGTAAGAATATTGGACAATCAATTTCACTCACTGTGCTAGTCCGCATTTAAATGATACCTGTGTTAAAATAATCAGACTTTGGGTAATCAACAGTTAAACAGTTACTCGAAACTATTAAGTTATCATTAAAAAATCAGTTGTACTAGACGAACCTGGAATCCATTTTTAATAGCTCTTACATATATTTTTTGAGCTACCCAGGACAGATTACACAAAAATAGTTAGTAGTGTTCAATACTCGTAGTTTGGAGGACCTCGTATATTCATCTCTCCACGGTCTTTGAAGGAGATAGGTTTTGGTTTAAGAAAATCAATATTTAAAGTAACGCAAAAGGTACTTTTGCAATGAACCTTTCTTATTCAACAACTTAATGGTCAAGGTCAGGTTCATTGGCAAGGATATACTTGAATTTAAAATTGTCCGCAACCTGCATTTCATGAATTAAAAAAAAATGTTTCAAATTGATAGTCTTTTGTTCTTTTTATTTCCGGTATCAAAAATAAGGGTTTCATTCAAGAACACTGTCTTGACATTGAAATTCATTTCAAGGATATACTTGAACATAAAGCTGTTGCTCTTTTCACTTTCGGTATCAAATATAGGAGTTTCATTCAAGAAAATTGTCATGATTTTCAAATGACCTTGTCATAATCAAGGTCACGTTCAAGATCACCAATGGTGGAATCTTTTCAAACCTTACAACTTTGTTCTACAATATTTTTCTCTAGGAATCGTAGTTTTCCAGATATTTTGATCTATCCATACTTTTAAACACTGTATATTTTCTCAGATAAAACCATGCCTATAACCTTCCTCGGGTTTTATTTAGTAGGTGTACAAAATATTACGTCTCTTCGTATTGTGGTTCAGACGTAATGTTGACGGACTGGACGGGCATTCACATTTATATGTATAGATATATTTTTCATTTGCGGATTGCTTTTGGTATAGAATAAACTTACATCACTATCTGGAGAGAGATGACTACATATAGCTCTTGTCGGAACGGTTGTTGATCTGTTCCTGAAGGTTGGTGACCGCGGGGAACTATTCGCGTCATCCTGATCTATGACTACTGAGCCAAATAGATCCCCAGGATCGGCCATCGCGTAAACGGCGCCAGCTGAGTTCGATCTCAATTCTAAAATATAAAAATTGCAAGTGTCTAAATTACCACCCAGATGGATGATTCTCAAAAATTTTCAGGTTCAGTTGAGGAAGTCACAAAAAATTATTTAACATTTAACAGAATAAGAGGACAATATTTATATTACATTAGATTTTCCGAGAAAATTTCTCAATTGAACTGTATACTCGTAGACGTTTAGCAGTATGTACAAAATCCTTTTTCGTTTTTATTCACGTTGAATTTTTTTTTGTTTTTTTGATTGATAGCCCTTTTACCTTTCGCATTTGCTTTGACTGGTGAACTTGCAATACTTCTTCGCGCAACATCTTTGAACGTAATGGGGGAGTAGGCAACAGTTCTTCCTGATTCCAGAGCATTTTCTTTGTTGAGCACGGCATATTCGATTTCGCCTAAAAGCGGTTTGGTATCGTTGTTTCGCAGTATTGGAGCTCGAGATTCTTTGTTTTGTAACCAATAAGTTTTCATAGTGCCTGAAACAAAATAAGCATATCATATCTCTACTAGGGTAAAATGTATATACAGGGTTACAGGAAAAGTCGTGCTAGATCCGTTAAGGGCGTGTAGTACCCATCATTTCTGACTTATTTCATTATGAAAGACCCTACCCTAAACTTAACCCTTTTCGAGATATTCAACTTTTAATGTTTTTATTGAAAATTGCCGATTTTTAGGCTACTAAATGTATTTATTTTTATTTTGTGTGTGTTATTATTACTATTATTGCATTTTAACATGTGTAATAAGATGCTTTAGGACGTCAATCATTAAAATAGTCCATAAGTTAATTGAATAGGTCGTAGTAGATAAGTGAATGTTAAGAAATTGAAAAAAATATCAGAAAGTTTATTTTTCTCGAAGGGATATCTAAAAAAAATATTATGGCAATTGTTCGGCAGATGTGTTTTAAAATATCTATGTTTTATCAGCTATCTAACGAGGTATAACAATCTAGGATTTGTATTACATTTCGTAGAAAAAAAGTAGTTGGGACGCTCCAGTAGCAGTTCCCACGCCTATTCTCCTTCAAGTTTAGACGCACCGTGCGAGCGAGACATGACGATTTAATGTGGGTGCGAATGAAAGAAAACATATTATAATAACCGGTTAGGGCTGGAAATCCAACACGGGATGTTGTTTTGGTTGTCAGTCTGCTTTTGTGCTTCGTACATAGTAGATGTGATATCGTTTTGCTCTTTTCCTCGACTTGGCTACGATTCTGGACTATTTATTCTGATTTGTGAATACTGTGCTTGTTCACTGGACTCTGATTTGTACTTGTGATACGGAATTGTTGAAGATGACGTCCTACACACCTGAGGAATATGCTGATATGCTTATTTGTTACGGATACTGCGATTGTGTATCTGCGCAAGCTCGCAACGAATACAGAACTCGCTTCCCCGGTCGTCGAGTGCCGGATGTGGCCGTTTTTAACAGAGTTTATCTAAGACTTCGAGAAACTGGCTCTGTTTTGAGACGAAATACAGACCTGGGAAGACCACGAATTTATGACAACGAAGAACTGCAGGACAATGAGATAGTGCAACGCTTTCGAGCGGATCCGACCATTTCCACTAATCGTGTTGCCCGTGATCTGGGACTTTCGCAATGGAGAGTGTGGTTTACAGTGCATACTGCTGGGCTATACCCGTACCATTACACGCCGGTACACACTATTGAAGAGGGAGACCCCGCGAGAAGGTTGGACTTCAGCAGATTTATGCTAAATGCTGACGTAGAAGACCCAGATTTTCTAAGAAATACCTTATGGACAGATGAATCCAAATTTGATAACGATGGCATAACTAACTATCACAACGCCCATTACTGGGCCCCAAAAGTACTAAGGAATCCCAATAAGAAAAGAGTGGCGAGGTCCCAACGAAGATTCAGCGTGAATGTGTGGATGGGCATTATCTCCAACCATTTGATTGGACCTTACTTTCTCCCGGACAATCTAAATTGGGAAAATTACGAAAACTTCTTGAGAGGAGACTTCAGAGATTTGCTGGATGATCTGCCACTCAACTTGAGAAGGGACATGTGGTTCCAACATGATGGCTGCCCTGCCCATTTCAGGAGAAGTGTCAGAGACTGGCTGGACACAAATTATCCAAACAAATGGATAGGACGAGGTGGGCCGTTGCCATGGCCAGCAAGAAGTCCGGACCTAACCCCCATGGATTTTCATGTGTGGGGGTGCATGAAAAGTCTTGTCTACAGCGAGCCAAATCCAGTTTCGTCTGTGGAAGAATTAAGAGAAAGGATTGTCGATGCAGCAAATCAACTAAGGACAACGTTGACCACTGCAGTTGTAAAGACTGGTCTCCGTAGAAGGATGCGACAATGTATTAGAAACAGAGGCAGCCATGTTGAACATGAACTGTAGAGTAAGAAAAAGTTGTGTGAAAACCTGATTTAATAAATGATATTTCATGCTTACCCTTTTTTTTTACTTTTTAGGGCTAAGTATCAATTTTCTTCTCCACTGTCGCCTATGAAACTAAGTTTTTTCAATGCATTTAAATAAAATCCTAGATTGTTATACCTCGTTAGATAGCTGATAAAACATAGATATTTTAAAACACATCTGCCGAACAATTGCCATAATATTTTTTTTAGATATCCCTTAGAGAAAAATAAACTTTCTGATATTTTTTTCAATTTCTTAACATTCACTTATCTACTACAGCCTATTCAATTAACTTATGGACTATTTTAATGATTGACGTCCTAAAGCATCTTATTACACATGTTAAAATGCAATAATAGTAATAATAACACACACAAAATAAAAATAAATACATTTAGTAGCCTAAAAATCGGCAATTTTCAATAAAAACATTAAAAGTTGAATATCTCGAAAAGGGTTAAGTTTAGGGTAGGGTGTTTCATAATGAAATAAGTCAGAAATAATGGGTACTACACGCCCTTAACGGATCTAGCACGACTGTTCCTGTAACCCTGTATACAGGGTGGCCAAACACGTGACGTCATAAAAAAAATTAGATTCCCCACATCGAGAGGAACCCAAATCACCCCCATATATATGGTCCGATTTTGTTTAGTTTAGGAGTTATGATTTTTTTTTTCGGATTTTTCGAGAATTTTTGAGTTCTGTGTTTATTGTTACCATAACTTCGTTAATAATTGTGATAAATGCCTGCTTTTTTCACGATTATGTAGCTAAGACCTAAGGCTTAACTATCATATAATCATTCAAGTCATGTAACTAATACTACTTTTTAATTTTTTTCAAAATCTTCGAACATAACAAAAAAGTAAAAAAGTGCAACAACTTTGAACGTTTATAAAAAATTGAAAAAACATGTTCTTACTATTCGTAAGTATCTTAAAAACTTCCTTACGGTATCAGCTATTTACCGTAAAAATTTCATCAACCTAGCTTTACTACATGCTACCGTAATTGTGGCTCAAATAGAACCGAACCCAAAATTGGATAACCCTCTGCTCAATAGAAATTGTTAGTTTCGGAAAAAAAATTTGCAAAAACCACAAAAACACGTTTGATTTTTACTGAACAGCAGATTATTATTCATTTATGTTATTTACAAGAGGTTTTCAAAATGTCTGCCTCTAACAGAAATGCACAGTGTACACCTACGTATGAAATTTTGTTTTAAATCTCTAAATGCTTGTGTGTTGTTTTTCAACACATGTGTCGCTTCTTGAATTTTGTTCCTCAATGAATTTTCATTTGCACATTCTTGGGCGAATGTTATGTCATTAAAATATCCCCAAACAAAAAAATCAATGGGGTTGAGGTCAGGGGAGCGTGGAGGCCATCGTATCGGTCCGTTTCGTCCGATCCATCTGTCTGGGAACCTTTCGTTTAAGTAGTTTCGCACGATCGTTGCGTTGTGGCATGGTGCACCATCATTCTGGAACACCATGTTCCGTCTGGCTTCCAGGCTTGAATCTTCCAGCAATAATGGTAGGCTATTTTCAAGGAAGCTTTTGTAGGCTACCGAATCCAACCTTGACGGCAGTTCAAATGGACCGATAAATTCCATATTGAATATTCCTGACCACATGTTCACACTAAAACGGTGTTGAAATGTCGACGGCCTTGACTGGTGGGGGTTTTCAACAGCCCAAGTATGTAAATTATGGATATTGAATATTCCTGACCACATGTTCACACTAAAACGGTGTTGAAATGTCGACGGCCTTGACTGGTGGGGGTTTTCAACAGCCCAAGTATGTAAATTATGGATATTGAATATCCCTGTTCTTTCAAAACGTGACTCGTCAGTCCATAAAATTTTATCAAAAAAATCGGGATCCTCTCGTTGTCTTCGCAGCATTGTCTCGCAGAAATCCACTCTTAACTGGTAATCTGAAGGCATCAACGCTTGAACTCTTTGAACATGATAGGCATGATAACCTTCTTCATGAAGAATATTTTGTATCGATGTTCGTGGTATTCTAAGGTTTTGTGCCATAGATCTCGTACTCGTTGAGGGATTCCGGCTAATTTCTTCAAGTACTACTTCTCTGCGATCCGGATCAGCTGTAGGATATCCTTCATTGCTTCCTCGTCCTGGAATGCGGCCTGCCATGAAAGTGTTATGTGTGTTAATAAAAATACGGTGGTCTGGGTAATTCTCAGGTTGTGGTCCGCCTCGGCGTATAAGTTGTTCCCGGTACAGCTGAGCTGCTAAAGCGCCGTTGCCTTGAGCAACGCCAGAATAATAATGCATTTCTGCATATTCACGCAACGTATAATGCATCACAAACTTCTTAGCAAACAAAGTCCAAATCAGTATGCAAAGCAGAGAAATTAGCCGGAATCCCTCAACGAGTACGAGATCTATGGCACAAAACCTTAGAATACCACGAACATCGATACAAAATATTCTTCATGAAGAAGGTTATCATGCCTATCATGTTCAAAGAGTTCAAGCGTTGATGCCTTCAGATTACCAGTTAAGAGTGGATTTCTGCGAGACAATGCTGCGAAGACAACGAGAGGATCCCGATTTTTTTGATAAAATTTTATGGACTGACGAGTCACGTTTTGAAAGAACAGGGATATTCAATATCCATAATTTACATACTTGGGCTGTTGAAAACCCCCACCAGTCAAGGCCGTCGACATTTCAACACCGTTTTAGTGTGAACATGTGGTCAGGAATATTCAATATGGAATTTATCGGTCCATTTGAACTGCCGTCAAGGTTGGATTCGGTAGCCTACAAAAGCTTCCTTGAAAATAGCCTACCATTATTGCTGGAAGATTCAAGCCTGGAAGCCAGACGGAACATGGTGTTCCAGAATGATGGTGCACCATGCCACAACGCAACGATCGTGCGAAACTACTTAAACGAAAGGTTCCCAGACAGATGGATCGGACGAAACGGACCGATACGATGGCCTCCACGCTCCCCTGACCTCAACCCCATTGATTTTTTTGTTTGGGGATATTTTAATGACATAACATTCGCCC